CCACTCCTGCATTTGCTCAGTGGAATGAGGCCCATGAACCTGGTCGGCGTCCGAGGTGCCCCACTTGAACTCCCACATGAGTCCTTTACCATCGTCAATGGGATTATTTGGCTTTGGGTTTGCCTCCTCCTCCGCATTAGATATTTTGGCCTTTTCCTTCTCGTCGAAGTCGTCGGCGTACATGTCGAGCTCGGTCGACGCCGTCGGCCTCTTGTTCTGCTCCTTGCCGATTTGCTGCTGAATTTGCTCGTACGTTTGCTGGTAAATGTCCATGTCGCCCATTTTGGTGAGAACCTCATTGGCCAGAGACGTCAGATTTGTGACCAGTTCAGCATTCGGGTCAACTATGCCTAGTTTTTTGTTTTTCCATCGTTGGGCTGACGATATTTTTGAGGATTTACCTAAAAATTTAATAAGTTAGGAACAAAACTCATAGTAGAAATAAACTACTGGTGTATGGCATCGTGCCTTAAGGCAAATTGCTGGAACTTCCCGTACCGTAATGAAATATTCGAGAAACGTTACAAATATATTGAATTACCAAATCACACACAACTTTCATTATTTTTGCTATCTTGTTATATCTGAGCAAATCAAATGTAAATCATAAATCAATTCAGTTCAATCTCCATAACATTAACAATTTCAAAAAAAAAAAATAGCTGCCTAATTTGCACAAAATTGTAAAAGTGCTCCTGTATAGTCACAGTCTATTGGGCATTTGCAAATAATTCTGTGCGGCATTTTCTCTTATACTGTGCTTAGCTTGGCGGCATTTTCACATATTTCAATAGTTTTCACAAAATTGGAAAGTGCTCCATTACATAAACTGTCTAAACGCACTTGGGTAAACATTTGCACCAGAGTGGCGCTTAGACTGTGCTTAGCCTGAGTAACTTTTTAAATTTTTAATCCAAAATTACAAAAATATTTCTTGGAAATAAAAAAAAAGTAATATTTTTTTATTCTCTAAAGCAATTATTTTGTCAATACAAGCAGAAAGTTTTTTAGATCATTCAAATCGAACTCTTAGTTCACTCAACTCAAAAACTGCCATTTTTTGCACATTTAGCTCTGTTTCTTCAAAATAGCGGGACCTGTCATTGCCAAAAACTAATCACCTCTTCTCCCAATCATTACAAATTGAATGTTTTTTAAATCATTGAAATCCGATACTCCGTTCTCTCAAAAACTCGATTTCTATTTTCTACTCTCTTTGCTCTTTATCTCCGTAACTGCTGGACCTGCCTTTGCCAAAAACTAATCAGCACATCTCCCTATCAATAGGAAATGAATGTTTTGAACCATTAAAATCGGTTGATCGGTGCACCCGAAAGCGTGGCACACACACATCCATTTAATTTCTGGGGTATGTCTAAAAAATGTCAGAAACCTTCAAAAACGTCGAGAAATGCAAAAATTCTTATTTTCGATTTTCGGTCCATTACTATAACTACCCTACGGGTAATAATGTAAATAAGTTCTCTAAAAACCTTTTAAATTACCTAAAAATATTGTAAATTAACAAAAAATATTACAAAAATAATGTAAAATTTAAGAAAAAAAATCGGGGAAAAATTTGCGAAAAAAAAAATGAGAACTAGTTAGTATTAGTATTTTGCCTTGAGACAAGTTACATGAACATCCCAAAGTGTGTAAATAATCGACTTAATCAATTAAAAATAAATTCATTTATAAGTCATTAAAGGTATTCCGAGTGGATTTAATACACATAATTGAAAACAAACAAACACGTTAACTCTAAGAGCAAATTTTCAAAAATCAACACTTTTTATAATTGAACCAGTTTCCGTAGGACTTTAATGGTTTACTATGTTCAAGACTAAGTACACTATCGTTATACCAACTAAATCATCTAATTTTATTTTTAAACGTCAAAAAAACTACTCATTTTCTCAAACTTTGATGAATTTTTAAAATTAAACTACTTGTCGTAAGACCGTTCTATATTAGTTATCTAAAACTGATATAAATCGTCTAAAAATTTTATATATTGTCTAAAAATATTGTAAATCATTAAAAATTTAAATTGAAATTTTGTTTATTGACTTACCAAGCCTTTGCAACGTTTTTAAAACAGTCTCGTTTGGCTTCATGAATTCCAGCATCTTTTTATAAGATTCAATCAAATCGAAGGAAGAATTAGGTTCATCGTCATCATCACTCTCCTCTTTTATTTTTGCTTTACCATCTGTCGTTTCTTTAATCTAAATGATAAATAGATTATTATTTATGAAAAAATACATATTTCTAAGATGCAAAATAAGAAAAAAATATTAATGTATACAAAGTAATTTATTATTTTTTAGAAAAATGTGAAAGTAGTATGTGATAGTTTACCTTGTAAAAGTATAGTTTAAATAATTATCAAAAAAATATTTCTATTCATTCTGGAATGTTCCAAAATTTATTATAATGTAGTTAAATATGTTCTTTATGATAACAAATACTAAAACTGATGTGCTTTCTCACAAAACTTTGAAATAATTGTAATTATAAAAAAAGTCATATTTGTAAACTAAAATGTTGGATATTTTGGTTACATTTTTTTATATTTCAACCAATTTTTAAAAAAAATTGTTCAAATGTGTATGTATTATTATAAACCATTAAAAATTAGATAATATTATCTATAAATCTGTATGTAATAATTTAAGTGGTTTGGAACAAAATTGTATTGAAAAAATGTTAAATCTTGGAATTGAATACTAAGCCACTTGTTTAAACTAACAAGTCAAGTTTTCTAGTGCATTTTTTTATATTTTTTGATTAAAAAAAAAAAATTGTTCAAACATGTATATATTATTACAAACCATTAAAAAGTAGATAAAATTATCTATAAATCTGTATGTAGTAATTTAAGTGGTTTGGAACAAAATTGTATTAAAAAAAAAGTTAAATCTTGGAATTGAATACTAAGGCACTTGTTTAAACTAACAAGTCAAGTTTCCTGGTGCATTTTTTTATATATCAATCAATTTTTTTAAAAATTTGTTCAAACATGTAGACATTATTATATATCTTTAAAAAGTTGATTAAAGCATCTATAAATCTGTGTATAACAATTTAGATCGTTTGGAACAATTTTCTTAAAAATAATCTTTATGCAAGTTTGTATATAGTTCTGGACTGTATAATTATTATAAAATATATAATTTACCTTAACCCAATCAATATTATCGAGCCAGTGATCTTTAAGATCTGCGTCGGCATCTTTTTTCCAATGGTAGTGTCCTTGGTTATCAAAATGGCCCTCTTGAAGTTCTTCTTTCATGTTGAAAGGCGTAATTTGAACCTATAGAAGAGGTAATTTAGTTATTTGGAACTATATTTATTTTACTAAACTTATAATAAAAATATCTATTGTGCCATTTATGTGTATACCGAATTGTTGTAGAACACATTAAAAACAAAGTACTAAATAATAATATTGTACAAAATTAGTTCCCATTACCAGCTTAAGGCTCTAAATATAACGAATAAATGCACCTTTAATAAACCAAAATTGACTACCCACGGTTAGGGTAAAATTTATCGCATCTGTATGCTGCACAATTAAATTATTATAACTATGATTTATTACTACAATTACCTCTCCTTCTTTAAATATTTCACAATCCTCCTCGCCTTCAATCTCATGATTGTCCATATGATCAAAATCATCTTCACTGTCGTCTTCATCAGAATCCAACGAGTGTTTATTCTCATTCAATATAACTTGTTGTTTCTTATTACTAAAATTCTGCAAGAGCTCCCCATCTTCTATCATCACATCATTTAGTTTACGTTTTGTAGACATTTTAAAGAAACTAGAACGAAATTTGTGTGAAATAAGGTTAGGATATAAAATGTAAAAACGTAAAATGTAAAAACATCGATTTAAGTTAAGTTGTGATAAAATAAAATCGTTAATAATACCTTTATTTGATTGTTTGTGAGTAATATTTGTTGTATATGTTTGGTGTATAAAACTATACTGTATAAAAATATATTTTATTTAATTTAATATGCACAAACACGTTCTGATACTTTGTTTGACGTTTTTGTGTTAATGGCGCAATTAGTGTTGCCAGGTGATAACATACCAAATGTTTAATTTTCATTTATTTTTATACTTTATATATTATAATTAATGTTGCACTTGATTAATTAACATAATATTTCATAACTACATTATTAATTATGAAATAATATAAAAGTGAATCCGGCTTTTAATTTATTTATTTATTAATAAGGCTCAAAATGGCGCCAAATTTAAATGCCAAATTTAGTTATAATTTTAATACTTTGTTATTCATTTTTGCTTTGCGACGGAGTTATAAAACTCTTGAAGCATGTTGAACTTTTAAACCTAAATTAATCAAATACGATTCACACTTTGTAAAATTACCATACAAAATTCTCACCATTTGTATGGTGAGTTTCTTTACAATTGTTTATTTTATGGTTGTTTTTCATATATAATTTTCATATACATTGGTTTTACTTATTTTTGTCTGTAATTATGTATTTTTTATATTGTTTTAATCTGTAACCCTGAATTATTTAATTGTAGCACTGAAGATGGGTCAAATCTGGACCCGAAACGTATGTTCTCTAAATAAAAACATTTTTCAATAAAACTGTTTTTTAATTACTGGATGGATGCCCAAGAAACAATTATATATATATATATATATATATATATATATATATATATATACACGTATATAATATATATATATATATATATACACGTATATATATATATATATATATATATATATATATATATATTATCATTGAAAAGCAGATATAATTGTCTATAAATCGGTATTTATAATAATAATAATAAAATTAATATTATTGATTTAAATAATGATTTAAACAATCAAAATAATGATTTCATTATTATTATTATTTATATCTGTAAAATAACATTAAAAAATAGTTTTTCATTTGCTCAAATACATTTAATAATAAATTAATACATATACAAGTTTGTACAAAATGGCGATAACGAGTATTTAAATAAAATTTAAAACCATGCAACATTTACATCAAGCCCAATTTAGCTCGATAAAACATTCAGAAGCCCATAGAAGTCCCTTCGTCTCAGACTTAAATACGAATAATAAACTTTCAACTTAAACAACAACCATTGTCTCGATATAAAAACCTGCAACTTTCTATACTTTGTCGAAGCCTTGTCAAATTCTTCTTTATGCACAGCATTGATACAGCATTTAGACATCGTCATAAATGATAACATGTTGGATCCTGTTTGTAAAGTGTATTCAATACCTCTGAGTAAGTCGTTGGTTTTAAAAATCAGCAACATTTGTCTGTTGACTTTTTGTAGTACATCAGATATTTGTGGAAGTACATTTGGTAATTGTTTTTGAAACTGATCCTTCTCCTTTTGCGAATGTGAGACTTTATCTATACCTGATAAAACAGATTCCCAAGGTCTGCCGGTTATCATGCAAGCAAACAAACCGTACAGATTACCCACGATACCTAAATTAATACTGTGGTGCCTCATTGCATTACGATCCACTTTCAAAATGCTCAACCAAAGTTGGGAGTACTCGTATCTGAAGTCATTCGATAACTCAGCATACAAACCATGGTCTAACAAAACCAGGTTGACGTGCTTGCCATGTTTTTGAACCAAGATGTTACCGGGGTGTGGATCACTGTGGACAAAACCATTAATAAAAATCATTTCAGAATATAAACGTCCTAGTTTGTTTGTGATTTCCAAAGGATTCATTTTGTTTTGCTGGATGTACTCTAAATCGTTTACTTGACCGCCTTCTACAAAGTCCATTGTCAGCACCCGGGGTGTCGTTAAGTCCCAATGTATTTTAGGTATCTTCAACCAAGTTTTGTCTTTAAACATTTCACTGATTTTTTCAGCGTTTTTGCCTTCGGCATTAAAATCAAGTTCTTTAGGGATGTTTTTTTTGGTTTCATCGACAAGCCATTGGAATTTAAAATCAGGGAATACCAACGAGACTATTTTAACAAGCAGTTCCATAGTTTTCATATCGACTAGAGAGTTTCCACGGACGTATCTGTGTTGGACCTTAACAGCAACTGTAGTGCCATCGTGTAAAGTTGCTTTGTGGACTTGTGCCAACGATGCTGTGCCCAAGGGTTCTTCATCGAAACTAGAAAAGATTTCACTGGGGTCTTTTTTAAACTCTTCTTTCAACACTTTGTATACATCGGTTATAGAATGTTTGGGGGCATGACTGTGTAAGACTTTCATGGTATTGACATACTCTTTGGGTAACAGGTAGTCGAGGGCTCCTATGTGCTGCCCGACTTTAATATACACACCTTTGTTTAAACAACAGAGTTGTAGCAATTTATCTGCACCCATTTGGTGCACCTGGCTCTTCAGATCCTTGTACTCTTGTGACTCCTTATCCAGACCATGGTTTTTCAATCTGGACTTGTACATAAGCCCTATGGAAAAGACTGTACTTGTGGCACGACCTAACCTAACAATACCAACTGAATCCAAATCGCCATCGTTTGCTCTAAAACTGGCAGCTGTAAAAATAGCACTACCACCAATGACTCCAAAACCGAGGAGCCTCCTAACAGACCACATAATTATACAAAAATATAACTTTCACTACAGTAACTATTTTTGTCACATAATTGCACAATAATAATTATCTAGCTTTTATTTTTATTTGTTACTACTACGTTTCCTCACCAACATCTTTTTCACGTTTTTCGTTAATTCTAACTACAAAACTAACAAATAAATAATTGTAAATAGAAATGTGTCGTCTGCTGTCAACTTGACATCATTATGAACGACGTTTTTTTAAAAGAAGTGAAACGTCAAAAAGTGGGCCACGTGTACACAGTAGTACGAGAGGCAACGACACAAATGGAATGAACAAAAAGTAGAAAAACCTTTGATACTTTTTTATTTTTATAGATAATAAATTTTTTATATTGTAAAATTTGTTAAATGTACAACAAAAAAGTAGAATTTACTTATTTATTTAATTTTTTTTGCTGACAATAATTATGTTCGTTTAATCCTTTATTAACATTCCTTTCAGTTTGGACGACTTTTTTATGTAATATTGAAATTTTTGTATTATAATTTACTATGATTACATTTTTATATTAGAGAATGCACATGATTTATTTATTAATTTATCGTGTTTTATTTACTACTCTAAATGATAAATATAAATATTCAAACACATAGTAGTAAACAATTAAATTGAAAAATATTTTACATATTTAATTACAAATTATAAAATTAAAAAATCGGAAATAAAATAATAAAATAATAAATATAAATACAAAACTGATCAATATATAACTAATTTTTCATTTATTTGCTTCCTGGATTAATTATTTATTTATTTATTTGTGAGTTTATTTACAAATCAAAGTTTAATCAGGTAGCCATTTATTAATATTTATTTATTTAGCAAAATTTTAAATAAATTTGCTTATTTATAAATTAATTAAATTTTCAATAATTGACTTCTTTATTTATTTTTGATTTGTTTAATTACTAACTCTATTCAATTAACTGTTAATTAATTCATACATATATCATTTTAATCTTGCATTATTAATTTTATTTAATTTAACTGGTGAACGGTATTTACTGTTTTACTTTTGTTTTTAATTATTTTTTATTTATTCATCTCTCTACGTGTTGATTTGTTTTTGTTTCATATTTATTTTTATTCATTATTTCATTATTTTTATTATATATATATATAAATAATATAATATATATATATATATATATTCATCAATGTTTTATCTAGTGTCCTTGTCTCTCGTCCCAACATTAAATCACAGCCTTGGTTATGATTTCACTTTTTGAATTGAAATTTCTTTGGAATTTCTTATATCAGACGATAAAAAAAACCCACATTGAAGAAAAAAAAGTTGCAATTATATAATTCAGCAATCTTACTTTCGATTATTCATACAATGTATCAATCTATTGTATGAAATCATACAAAGGCAAGAATATCGAATTAAAAATTCATATTTTGAGAAAAACACTTTAGTTTATTGTATAATATATCAGTATGTATTTTTTATGTAAATCGCTTTAAATTTGTTTAAATATGCTTGTCCTATTTTTTTTTTGTATATATTATAAATTATAAACCATCGCAGATAATATATGAAGATAAATTTAAATATTTATTTTATATTAAAAATGTTATAGTTAATATTAGATTTTTGTTGAAACATATTTTCGAAATGTGCATTTGCATCCCCAAATACTTGAAATAAAGAGCAATAATTTACCTAACAATTTATTATGTACGATTCGACACTGTATGTGTGTCATCATTCAGCATGTTAAACAAGTTCTAAAAAAAGGTTTCACAAAATATAAAAAATACAAAGATATAACAAATAAAAACCAGGAAAAAACGCATTTAAATATATTCTTTTATGAAAAAAACTAGCCAATTTTCTAAAATAGTAAACTAAAAGTTAAATAATAAAATTATGAAGTAAACCATAGCCAAGCAAAACCAACCAAATAAAGGGGTTCACAAATGTAATTTCAAGATCGAATTCTTAGAAATGCTAGCCGGTTAGAAAAGTGTTAAATAAAAATGGCAAAAAACAAACAAAAATGAAATGGACGCCCCCTTGTAAACGTGAGGCTCTTAGGGCGGTTTGACCAAAAATTACAAAATATCTATAGGGATAAAGAGGGGCCTAGTAAGATATCACGCGTGCTTATTTTTTACATAAATATTTTAATTTTTTTAAAAAAATATCATGATTTTTTCTCTTGATGTTTGTTGGGGGAGGAGGAGTTAATTTTAAATATTACCACGTATCACCAAAAGAAAGGGGGGATTAATCGACGCCCCTCAACCAGATATTGAGATTTTTTTTAAATAATTGATTATAATATCGCAGATACAGTGTCAAAACGTACATAATAAATAGTTAATTACTTATTGCCCTATATATATATACTATACACAAACATGTACATTGATGAAATAACAATTTTTCTAATTCACCTTTTCAAATATCCCGCCCATCATCCAATGAGTCTATTACTCTGGCAACACTATTCATCTGTCCGCCATCTTTCAATTCGCGAATCTGTCACTTCAGTATTTGTTTACTGAAAAATGTCGAACGTTTCGCACGTATCGCACAAATAATAAATAAATAGACAGAAATCTAAGTTTTTAGTGCGTTTGCGTAATTAATTCAATATAATAATGACATGTCAAGAAAACATGGACGTGTGTCGTGTTTGTCTTAAAAACAGCGAGAAATTCACGAATATATTTCGAACGAAAATAAACTCAGTTCTTGTTGCCGAAATTGTGTCGATTTGTTCGTCTTCATATGTAAGTAGAAAAAGATAAGGGATAAGGGATAATGGATTTATGAATACTGTATACACTCGTGTATATATGTGGTATATTTTAGTATAATACATTTTGTAATTGTCCTTTCCACTTTTATTAAGGCAAATATAAAACATGAAAAATTATCAGCTTACAATCAATATCCAAAACTTGGACACCGAAAACTACCCTGCTTCCTTAGTTAAACTTTTTACAGTATTTGCCTTTTATATTGCTAAATTTACCCGATTTAATTCTAGCAACTATTTTCTAACCAAATTTATATCTTGAGTACTTATTTTTCATTCGACGGATTGGATAAAATTACATTAATATGTTTGAACAAGAGCCTAATAATAACATTCATTATTATTGCTGCTTATGTTATGAATAAATAACATAAACAAATAATATTGATAAGCAATTCTCACAAGTAGATCTCATGTTACATTTCATATGCATTTTGCAAAATAAGTGAGTCATATTTCAGATAAACAAGTGAGTGCACTCAATTGTTTATTAAATATAATAAAATATTCTTGAACTCCAATTTTCATATCAATATTTATATGAGCTCTGATTTAATCACAAAATAAATTATTATTAGTTGTAAGTAGCACTTTGTCTGAAAACAAATTATATAAATAAAGATTTATAAAATCTTTAGATCAATATTATTTCCAATTAAGTTTCAAGTTGTCCTGGCATAGCCTAAGAAGGCCCAAGCTGAGCTAAGTAGCAATAAAAAGACAAAAAAGCAATGAGTTGTCCTAAGATGTTTTACGATATCCTATAATGTTAGGACTTGTCTCAAATTGTTCTAAGATGTCCTAAGATCTTCAAAGTTGTTCTACGTGGTTTTATGATGTTATAAGAAGGCCTAAGTAAACCCATAATAACCTGAAAATGCATCAGAATATCCAAAGTTGTTCCAAGTTGTTCTGAGATGTCCCATGAAGGCCTAAGTTGTCTACAGGTGTCTTAAGAAGTCCATAAATGTCCTTAGATGCTCCAAGATGTTCTATAATGTTAGGACACTACTCTAATTTGTCCTGACATGACCTAAATTATCCTAAGAGACCTAAGTTGTTCTGAAATGTCCTATGAAGGCCAAAGTTGTCTACTCTAATATACCTCATAATGTCCTAAGTAGTTCAAAGTTCTTCTTAGTTGTTCTAAGATGTTTTAAGAAGGCCTGAGTTATCTCGAGATGTCATAAATGTTGTAAGTATCCTACCCTGCCATGAGATATCTAAAGTTGCCTTAAAATAATCCACAATAGCTTAATATTCGAAGCATACCTATCTTCTGAGTCAACGAACAAAAAATTAGGACCAAATCTAATAAGTTCAATTTTTAATAACACTGCCTTCTCACCTAAATCTATATCCTTTTCCAAATTTTTATCTGCTTCTTCTCTTTGTTTTCCGTCTACTAATACTAACATTAAAGTGGCAGAAACTTATGCATTAAAATTGCACCGAGCAATGGACATAATTACAGTTTTAGATGGCTCAGATAACCAAAAGTTATCTTCATTTATTAATTTCCTAACTTATGTTTTTGAGAGTACTGATCCGAAGGATCACATGGCTCTCATAAAATATATTTTATTCACAAAATTAGAGGGGAAAGCTCTTCAAGCTACCCAATACAAATCTATAAGTTCACTTAGTTGTCCTTAGATGCTCCAAGATCTTCCATAATGTTAGGACATTGTTTTAAGTTGTCTTAAAGTTGTTATAAGATTTAAGATGCCTAATTTGTCCTGAAATGTTCTAAATTGCCCAAAATGTACTAAGATGTCCTGGAAGATATAAGTTGTTCTAGATGTCCTGATATCTCCTGAATCTAATGATGGTGCAAGAAATTCTAATATGTTCTAAGATGCTCCTAAATTGCTCTGAAATGTTCCAAGTTGTCCTAAGATGATACACAAGTTCTGTCTCAAGTTATCCTGATATCTTCTGAAATATTCTAACAATAAGATGGTCTCAGAAATTCTAATTAGTTCTAAGATGCTCTACGAAGTTCTAATTTTTCATGTGATGCCCCATATCATCCTAAGTTGTCTCCAATTGTTCTGGCATTTCCTGAAATATTTTAAGATGTTCTGGTATGTCCCAAGCTGTGCTGAATTTTCCTGATATCTTCTGAACTATTCGAAGTGATCCTAAAATGTTCCAAGTTGTCCTAAGATAGAACAAGTTCTGTCTCAAATTATCCTGATACCTTTTGAAATATTCTAACAATAAGATAGTCAAAGAAATTTTAATATGTTCTAAGATGCTCTAAAAAGTCCTATAAGAAGCTCCATAACACCTTCAGTTGTCACCAATTGTTCTGCGAGATTTCCTGAAATTATATAAGATGTCTTGATTTGCCCTATGTTGTCTTAAGATTTCATAATATGTCTTAAATTGTCCTAAGAATTCCCAAGATACCCATATGTTGTTGTAAGTCCTTCTAAGTTGTTTTAAGATTTCCTAAGATGCCTAATTTGTCCTGAAATGTTCCAGGTTGTTCTAAAATGCCCATAATGTACTAAGATGTCACAAGTTGAACCAAGTTATCCTGATATCTCCTGAAATACTCCAAGATGTCCTAGAATGCTTTGATATGTCCCAAGTTGTCCTGATATCTGCTGAATTATCTGTTGTCCTAAGATGAATCAAGTTGTCCTGATGTTAATTAGGCGTTTTACATTCTCTTAAATTACCATAAGTTGTCCTACAGTGCTTACTAAGTTGCTCCAAAATGTTGGGGACAAACCTTTTCCTTCTCCATTTTCACATGAAATTCTATTACCATCGTTTTCCTTTTCCAGATCTGGGAAGAAGATGGCATGCCCAGCTCAGTCTGCCCCGCATGCTTGCACAAACTAGAAGGCTACTGGGAGCTCAGGAACTGCATAAAAGCCTCCGAAAACATCCTGCGAAGCAACATGCAGCCCCAAGTTCAAAGCACAGTCGACCAGTCAAAGTTTGCACAAGACTTCAACCAAGAAGCAGTCTCTTGTGTTGGTCTGACAGCCGAGCAGGGCAAAAAAATAGCAGAGAGCATCACAATCAAAATAGAACCAGATTGTTTTAAGTCTATGCTGATGAACGAGGACAAGACAACTGTGCGGACAACCATAGACTTCCAAGACTGTTTAGATAAATTGACAAGAGAGTCCGGTGTGTTAAACGAAGATGTTGAAGAGCTGGTGAATGCCAACAAAATATTAACCAATGTTATAGATATCGACGACCCCAAAGACCAACAACAGACTGATCAATGTGATAGATTAAAGTCGCTTAAGCGTCCTTTGAGTAATTTAGTGGTTTGTGATAAATGTGAAGCCGAATTTGAGACTTTAGAGTTGCTCGATATGCACTACAAATGCAAACACATGAAAATCAAGTGTAAGAGCTGCAAGAAGTCGTTTTCGCCCGATAAAATGAAGGTCCACAATGAGACCGTGCACACCGGTTCAAAGATGTTCAAATGCCAAATTTGTAATAGTTATATTTCTTTGAAGTATTACGATATGCACATGGCTGTACATTCTTGAGAAAAGGGCTTACAATTATCAACAACATCACTACAGTAAAAATTTAATTCAAAATTATTTTGTGTTAATAAAATGAATAAAATCTCATGTAGCAAATGAATTGATAACGCTGAGATAGTTTTAAGAAATTGACTTTAATTGTACTTTAATAAAAATTTAAATAAAGAGATTTCTTTCATAAATTCATTTGTTCATTTATTCACATTCTCAGTCATTTATTAAATAAGATTAACGTTTAAATGATGGGATTTCAGATAAAATGAAAAATGGGTTACATTAGAGTGGTACTTGAAATTGAATTGACTAGTGGTGTATGGCATCGTGCCTTAAGGCAAATTGCTGGAACTTCCCGAACCGTAATGAAATATTCGAGAAATTTCAAACGTTTTCAAATATATTATTACAAATACTGTAACTTTCATTATTTTTGCTATCTTGTTATATCTCAAATGCAAATCAAAGAACATTAATAATCGTCATTTCATTTGGAATTCAATTTAAAAAAAAAAATAGTTGCCTAATTTACACAAAATTGAAAATGTGCCATAGTCACAGTCTAAACGCATTTGCAAATAATTCTGTGCGACATTTTCACTTATACTGTGCTTGGCTTGGCGGCGTTTTCACTTTTTTTTTATAGTTTTCACAAAATTGGAAAAGTGCTACAATACATAGACAGTCTAAACGCACTTGGGTAACGCATTTGTACCAGAGTGGCGCTTAGACTGTGCTTAGCCTGGGTAATTTTTTGAATTTTTAATCCAAAATTACAAAAATATTTTTGGAAAAAAAAATTAGAAACCGTTTTTTTCTAAAAGCAATTATTTTGTTGAAACAAGCAGAAAGTTCTTTAAATCATTCAAATCGGACGCTTAGTTCTCTCAAAAACTGCAATTTTTTTAACATTTAGCTCTGTATCTCCCAAACCGCTGGGCCTACCTTTGCCAAAAACTAATAATCACTTTTCCCCGTCATTACAAACTGAATGTTTTTTGGATCATACAAATCGGATAATCCGTTTTCTCAAAAACTCGATTTCCATTTTCTGCACTCTTTGCTCTATATCTCCGTAACGGCTGAACCTGCCTTAGCCAAAAACTTATCAGCACATCTCCCTATTAATAGGAATCGAATGTTTTTTAAATCATTCAAATCGGTTAATCCGTGCACCCGAAAACTTATACACATACAAAACACACACATCCATTTAGTTTATGAAGTATGCCAGTAAAATGTTCAGAAACCTTCAAAACGTCGAGAAATGTAAAAATTTTCAATTTCGATTTTCGGCCCATTACAATAACTTACCCTACGGGAAGTTAAAAATGTGTTAGGGTTGAACAACCTTTAATAATAATAAATTGAATTTTAAAGTGAAATTTGAATTTTTTCTTCAAGCTCAAAAATCTGAACTAAAATTATTTACAAAATATTCAATGACTGATGACTTGAAAAAATGATCGAGTTGCCAAAATGGCTATAAAAAAATAAGGGTTGGCGATAAAAAAGTAAAAATTTGGGTTATATGAATTTTTTAATGCCACATTATAAAAAAATAAAAACAAAAAAAAATCATCTAAAAATTACAAAAAAAGAATTGAGGGAAAACGACCCTTATCACTTAGGGGTGTAAAAAATAGATAGTTACCAATTCTCAGGCCTACTGACTGAATACGCATATATAATTTGATAAAAATCGGTAAAGCCGTTTCGGAGGAGTACGAGAACGAATTTTAAGACACGATATATTATTATATATAAGATATATATATATATATATATATATATATATATATATATATATATCTTTCAATTAAAAACTGAAACATGCAAAGACTTAAGTTTATTAAACATACACTTCATATAAATATTTTTTATAAATTATGTACATCAAGCATAAAAACATGTCAGTCCAAAAAAAAAAAACAAAATACTCTCTCATACTAAACTAAGGTATAAAAAATTTGTTCGCCCTTTGTATTATAAACCTATAAATGCATAAATAAATTTTGTTCCCTCCATAAATATATATATGTACAATTATGTAAACTCACGTGTTCATTAATAAATTAGTTATAAAAAAAGAACATTACCTCCCACAACTAAATTTTGTCCCTGTCTATTTTATTATTAATTAGTTTCCTTTAGCAGCCTTCGATTGAGCCCTCACAAACTCAGGGTAGTCGATGTAACCGTCTTTACTGGCATCGTCCATCGATAGAATTGGATCAATCAGTGACACCAGTTCATCGTCTGAGAAGATTTTTTCCTCGGCATGAGGAGCGTGGCCTCCTCCTTGGGTGTTGTGGGCCTCTTTGCTGCCTTGTTCTAAAAAATGATAATAGACAATGTAATGGTAATAGGTGGTTAGTTTATAGGTGGTGATACGATTAATATTCTTACCGTGCCAATGGATGAGGGATTTAATTAGTTCACAGCCATCGAGTTTGTTGTTGTTGTCTGCATCGTGCATTTTGAAATAGTGGAATTGTAGTTCTTGTTCGGACATTTTGCTTGTGTCGATTGGTAGTTCCAAATGTTCAGCTATATGTCTGAAAAGAAAAAGCAAGTTGGGTTAAATTCATTCTGAAGTAAAACTTCTTTATGCGCGACATGGGTGTAAATCCGTACAAATGCAACGGAAATCGTTACGCCAAGCTGAAGTGAGAGTCATTTGCTCTCAATGATATGATTTTTTTGGGGACTTTATACGTGCGTACGTCACCGTATTTGAACTTCCATATAAAGACTTCAATTTGTTTAGAAATGCACGAAAATTATTTCCAAAACTCTTTTTTTTTAAGTGAAACTTCTAAGGACTTTTCAATAAGTGCACTATGGAAGAAATATGAAAACAACCATGCCAGAATGCTTGAAAATTTTCTAAAGAGTCTGAAAATGTTCCAGAGAGCTTGAAAAAGTTCTTGAGAGTCTGAAAATGTTGTAGAAGGCTTAAAATTTTTGTAGACAATATGAAAATGTTGAAGAAAGCTTAAAGTCGGTATAGACAGCCTAAAAATATTGTAGAAAGTCTGAAAATGTTCTCGAGAGCCTGAAAATGTTGTACAGGACTTAAAAATGTTGTGCAAGGGTTAAAATGTTGTACAAGACCTAAAAATGTTCTAGAGAGCCTGAAAATGTTGAGAAAGATCTGAAAATGTTCTAGAAAATTTTAAAATATTACAGGAAGTTTAAAAATGTTCTAGAAAATTTTAAATTTTTCCAGAGTGTCTGAAAATATTCTCAAGAATCTGAAAATGTTGTAAAAGGCTTAAAAATTTTGTAGACAGTATGAAAATGTTGTAGAAGGTCTAAAAATGTTCTAAAAATCTTTAAATTTTTTCTAAAGAGTCTAAAAATGTTCCAGATAATCTAAAAATGTTGTAAAAGGTCTAAAAATGTTCCAGAATATCTAACAATGTTGTAGAAGGTCTAAAAATATTGTACAGGGCTTAAAAATTGTTGTACAGTGCTTAAGAATGTTGTACAGGGCTTAAGAATGTTGTACAAGACTTAACAATATTGTACAGGGCTTAAAAATGTTGTACTAGACTTAAAAATGTTATATAAGACTTAAAAATGTTGTACAGGGTTTGAAAATGTTGTACAGGGCTTAAAAATGGTGTACAGGGCTTCAAAATGTTATGAAGTTTAAAAATATTGTAGAAGATCTAAAAATGTTCCAGGAAGTCTGAAAATGTTTCAGAAGGTCTAAAATTGTTTCAAACAGTCTACAAATGTTTCAGAGGGTCCAAAAATGATTCAGAGGGTCTAAAAATAATTCAGAGGGTTTAAAAATGTTCCAGGAAGTCTAAAAAAGTTTCAGAAAGTCTGAGAAAGTTTTAGAAAGTATAAAAATGTTACAAAAAGTCTACAAATGATTCAGAGGGTCTAAAAATGATTCAGAGGGTCTAAAAATGATTCAGAGGGTCTAAAAATTTTCCAGGAAGTCTAAAAATGTTTCAGAGGGTCTAAAAATGATTCAAAGGGTCTAAAAATTTTCCAGGAAGTTTAAAAATGATTCAAAGAGTCTAAAAATGATTCAGAGGGTCTAAAAATGATTCAGAGGGTCTAAAAATGATTCAGAGGGTCTTAAAATGTTCCAGGAAATCTAAAAATGATTCAGAGGGTCTAAAAATGTTCCAGGAAGTCTAAAAATTTTCCAGAAAGTCTAAAAATGTTCCAGAAAGACCAAAAATGTTCCAGAACATCTGCAAATGTTATAGAAGGCCTAAAAATGTTCCAGAGAGTCTAAAAATATTTCTAGAAATGATTTTGAGTCAAAAAATGTTCCAGAAAGTCTAAAAATACTCCAGAAAGCCTAAAAATGTTCCAGAAAGACTAAAAATGTTCCAGAAAGTCTGCAGATGTTATAGAAGGCCTAAAAATGTTCCAGAGAGTCTAAAAATATTTCTAGAAATGATTTTGAGTCAAAAAATGTTCTCAAAAAGTCTAAAAATGTTTCAGAGAGTCTAAAAATATTCTAAATCATCTAAAAATGTTGCAAATTGTCTCAAAATATTTTAATTTCCACTTACTCTTTTTCTTGTGCAATATTAGCGGCATTCAAAATCTGTTGCGACCTTTGAGGATGCCCTTGGTGATGTTGTTGCTGTTGATGTTGCATCGGCACTTGCTGAGGCTGAACAGGAACCTAAATCACAAAAACATAAAACAATAAAAAAATATTTCAAATCCAAATATTAATTATGTTTGTTACTACCTGTTGATGTTGCACGGGCACTTGTTGTTGGACTTGGGGTTGCTGATAGTGCATTTGTTGTTGCTGTTGCATTTGTTGCGGTGGCATTTGTTGCTGTTGATATTGTTGTTGTTGATTCATTGGCACTTGACCGCCTTGCGGCATTTGTTGATAGTTTTGATTCTGAGGTACCTAAATAAAGGACAGAAAAAAATAATTGATAATTGTAAAAAGGAGTTGGACTCAGGGACTATTTTTTAAGTATCGACTTGAAAAAAAAAACCATCAAAAACAAAATGTTTAGGAATTTTATTACATATTTAACTTATTGTTTGATGACCTAATTAAAATTAATGTATCTACATGATGATCCATATTTTTCTATTCAAATAAAATAAATCATTTATCACTTACATATTGTTGTGGGGGCACTCCAGGTGCAACTCGCTGTCCCAAAATTACTGGCAAAATACACAATATAAAAATAAATATCTTCATATTGAGCGTTGTTCTATCTAAAACAAATAATCAATATTAGCATTAAGCACTAATTATTTGAACTTAATTAATTCAATATTTACATATTGATTTTGGCAGCAAACAATGTTTACACAAGATAACAGATTTAATGTAATAAAGCGATAAGGAAATGAAAACATAAACAATAAACGCCATAAATACATGGATACATGTTAATAAATAACAAATTGTATTTACATAACACATACTTATGTTTAATTACACAAATTTAACAATTGTGCAAATATAGGTTAGGTATTTTAAAAACACAAAAAATTTGTAATAAACTCGTATTAAGTATTAGATAACATTTTAATTGTATTATTAATCGAATTACTCACCTAATTATTATAAAAATATATCAAATATGTATATAAAATATAAATTCCATAAGTTCTTTTGTTGATTTCAAAATATACACGTCAGACCAATCTCGATTATTTGTCAACGTCAAAAGTGTTGCCAGATGCGTACTGAGTTTTAGCGCCAAATTTGAATTCAAATTTGATATGACCTAGATATAAACTTTATTAAGTGTTTAATTATAATAATATATTTACCTCGTGCTAAAATAAGTATCAGTTGTGAATTGAGATTTCCTAGAAAACTATTTTATTATTAGTGCATTCTGTCAGATGAAAGTTATTTTGTTTAATTATTTTCTACAATTTATTTGATGCTAAGTTTTGAAGAGCTAGAAATAATAACTGCGAATTATTGTAGTTCTGTAAATTGACGTGCTTTAAATAAAATGGAATGAAAATCTGCTAAATTGACACTTAACACAAAATACCCTATAAATATTCAAACAATTTATTCCTTAGCTAATAAACAAATATATTATAGGTTGTCAAATATCTCCCTTCCGCCTTTTTGTATTATAAACCAAGAGCAAAAAAGCGGAAGGGAAATATTTGACAACCTAATACAAATATTATACATATAAAAACTGTAGTCAATTATATTTTGATAAAAACATAAAAAAAAACACTGAGTTCAATCTGTCATTTATATATTTCATTTTTAAGTGCATTTTGAAGAACTATTATCTTTATTTATATAAGCAACTTTAGAATAAGCTCCACAATTAAAGCGATTACTTCATCGAAGTAATTTTGAAGAATTATTCTTGTACATGTTCCATTTTAATTTCATTTTCTATAATTTATATCACTCACATAAAATAATATCACTCACAGCATTATTTAATAAAAAAAAATATATTTCGGATACAGATTAACAACTCTTTTGTTCAATTTTAAAATTCGTGCAACTCAGCAATAAGATACCTTCGTATTTCATATCTTTGTCCTCATTGAATATTTTCTTGTACGCTATTAACACTGTTTGGATTCAGGCTCCTTCTTCTCCCGCTGGGGCTTGAAGAAATATGTTGTTCAATCCCGTTCAGTGCGTTATCTTCTTCAAAATCGCCCGACGCTCCAATACCTTAATAAAATAATGAAAATTTATAAATTTTCTTCTAAATTATAATTATCATCATATCTTACCCCCCATGAGACAGTCTCGTAACCTCTGGTTGGTTTCATTCTGCATTTGTTCTTCGTATTTGTAAACATCTTCTACCGTCATCAAATACCATTCATCAATCCACGTAAATGCTTGCCTATGTCCCAGCAATAATGTTTCTCGAATGCACTGGAAAAATATAAAATAAATGGTATTGCATTTTCTGCATTCTGATGGATTTAGTCAATTCTTTAAAATCTATTACAATATTGCAAGATTTTTAAATAAAATGGATGTGAAAATGTTTAGAGAAGGATAGAAATTGCATTCCACAATTTTTCAGAAAATTTACAACATTTTCAGACTGTTTACAACACTTTCAGACAATTTACAACATTTTTAGATAACTTACAACATTTTTACAACACTTTTAGACAACTTACAACACTTTTAGAAAGTTTACAACACTTTTAGACAACTTACAACACTTTTAGACAACTTACAACATTTTTAGACAATTTACAACACTTTTAGACAACTTACAACATTTTTAGAAAATTTACAACACTTTCAGACAATTTACAACATTTTTAGACAATTTACAACAGTTTTAGACAACTTACAACATTTTTACAACACTTTTAGACAACTTACAACACTTTCAGACAATTTACAACATTTTTAGACAATTTACAACAGTTTTAGACAACTTACAACATTTTTACAACACTTTTAGACAACTTACAACACTTTCAGACTGTTTACAACACTTTTAGACAACTTGCAACATTTCTAGACAATTTACAACACTTTTAGATAATTTACAACACTTTTAGACAATTTACAATATTTTTAGACCATCTACAACACTTTCAGCCCATTTACCACATTTTCACACAATTTACAACATTTCTAGACAACTTACAACATTTCTAGACAACACTTAAATTAATTTACCTTATGTACAAACTCTTCAACCCTCGTCTGTACACCCCAAACATCAAAAGACACTTTTACGAGTTTATAACAACACATAATAGGAGTCGCACCGGTAGAGTCAGGATCAAACTCCTTCTGCCTCCATCCCTCGACAAGGGGCCCCCGATTGGTCAACTTGGATTTGAAATATTTAGGATCTTCATTTTCCGAATAATGATGTGAACAAACTTCATCGTAAGCTATATCTATATGATCGACAGATCGAACCGCCAATTCTTCTGGGGATAGACCCAGACAGTTACCGTTAGAGCCTAAAATATAATAAACTATAAATTATCTTGAATTGAACTCGGTCTATTATTACCTTACCGTTATTATCTTCATAACGTGTTATTATCGATACATTGAACTTTGGTACAAACGAACAAGAGTATTCAGTCATGGTGAATGGAAAATAATTCCAGGACTTCTCTAGCAAATAAAACCATTTCGGTAGCATAGACTGGACCCAATAAGGTAACCGGCTGAAATTTAAGTTGTATTAGTTTAAAACAAGTTAATAATATCATATAAAATCAATCAATAATATCATATAATATCAAATAAAATTAACCTGTTTAAATGTATCCTTTTTTCTGTATATCTGCCTTTACCGTGAACAGGATCTTCACATTCTGTGTTGACAACGACTTCTACACCTTCACCATTGTTGCTTTGCTCATGGCTGTGTCGAGCAATCATATACAATTGTCCTACACGATACTAAAATGATAATTGATACATTAAATGATAATTAACTAAGTGAATAAGATAACCTCACTTATTATTGCATTTTTGTTGAATAGTTAGTAAAATAATAAATAAATGTTAATTTAATTTTGTGCTTAAACTCTCTTTTTCTGCATTGTTATTTAGTAATTTAATTTTGGTATTACTACAGCAATAAAAAATGCTGCCTCACCACACACTCACAATATCTAATACATTACTACAATACAGATATAACATATTTAAACCTTTCAATGTGTATTTAATAGTGCTAATTACAAAGCACTAATTATTTAACACAATTGATATGTATTAATATAAACAAATGTTTCTAACCTCTTCGACTGTCAGAGGCAAGCAGATTCTATATTCGCGTATCAACACCATTCTGATACAATTGTCTATTCTCTATAATTATTTTACATTAGCACAACGTGTAAATTGTGTTTTAGTCGGAATTTATTAGCAATATATTTATTAATATTAACATTTTCACTTTTGATATCTTTAGTTTAATTTAAGCACGAGTACGAGTCAAACAATTTGGCGGTCCTGTCAACACTGAAAACTGTCAACAGCTTGAAGTGAAATCCACTCTGAAGTAAACTGCATGTAAACAGAATTAGCATCTCGAAAAAAAACGTTAGAATTTAAATTTAAAAAAGATATTTAAATTAAATAATCAACTACAAAACGTGTGTTTAGGTTCCAGTTTTTTTTTCTTATTCTGTTTCAACGTTTTTTATTTAATTATCTAATTTAGACGTGCAAAACTTTCCTTCATATATCGCTTGGTATTTTATGTTTTCTTTATTTATTATTATTTAGTATTTATTTAATATATATCATCTTCATTGTTAATTTGCGTGTTGCATATATTGCACTCCTAGTAATTTTAGGCTCATTTTATAATTAACTTTTAAATTTTATAGTTCAATTTTATAGATCTTAAATAATCAATAAGAATTAAAATTTAGCACATTTAATATATTATTTTTTATTTTATATGTTTATTTTAATATATTATCACTTTTTATAAGAAAAAAATTTAAATAATATTTATCCATGTAAAATGGCCGACCGGTCTTGTCAATTAATTTGGTGAATACATTACAAACTTGTGGCCCTAAAAATATTTTAATTATTCATTATTATTAGTAACAAAATTAGTTTTAAGCAACTATTTTCCGATAAATAGTACTATAATATTTGACATAAGAGAAGTGCCGACAAAATGGCGCCATGTTTTGTCTTTTACTCTTTAATTATTAGTCTCAATCGTGTTCCCTCATCTTGGGTTTTATTTTTAATTAATAATTGAGCTGAAATCATTTTGAACTGAAGAACAACTCTACAAATAAATAAACCGAATTCAAACTTAATAAAAACTAGCTGTAAGTGGAATTCTGTCTTATGGCAATTAAGGCATCGTGCCTTAAGGCAAATTGCTGGAACTTCCCGTGCCAAAAATTATTATTTTTTTAAAAACGATTAACATTTTTGAAAAAATTTTACTTCGAAAAAATAAGATTTTTTAGAAATTTTAAATTGGACAAAAAATTACTTTTTTTTGAAAAAAAAATTTTTTTTTAAAAAAAATTTTTAAACAATTTTTTTTATAAAAATTTTTTTTTGGAAAAAATGTTATCTTTATTTTGATATATTTTGGAAGATCTGAACTTTTTTTCAAAGCAATCATACTGCTTTAACTGCATAGAGACAAAATATAAAGCGCGTAAGCGCCGCGTCGCTGTCTAACGGAAAAACAATGGTACGGAACCCATAGGAATGTAAACAAAACTTATACTTATTGTTAAAATCTCAATAAAATATCTGATAATTTGATATGCATATGTCTAATGTCTAATGATTATTGTTGACCGCCAAATGTTATTTTTTTTTTAGTTTTTTTTACTAGATCTCCGAAACCGCTAGACCTATCTTCATGAAAATTTGATCAAATCTTCATCTTGTTAATACAAGTAAAATGTTTTTTGAACTATACAAATCGGACGCTCCGTTCTCTTAAAAACTGAGTTACCGTTTTTGGCCCTTTTTGCCCCATATCTTCGGAACGGCTAGAATGTTTTTTGAATTATTCAAATTGCTTCATCCGCGTTCCCGAAATCGTCGACGAAAATTTGTATCCGAACACACACACATGCACGCACACACACACACACATACATCAATTTTCTCCAACCTTTGAAACGTGAAGATATATAAAAAATTTCATTTTCGATTTTTGTGCGATTACTATAACTTACCCTACGGAAAGTTAATTATAAATAAATCAATTTATCATCTCCAAATTTCCACAAAATTGAAAAAGTGCTCCCGCATAGTCACAGTCTAAACGCATTTGCAAATAATTCTGTGCGACATTTTCACTTATACTGTGCTCAGCTTGGCGGCATTTTCACATTTTTCAATAATTTTCACAAAATTGGAAAGTGCTCCAGTACACAAACAGTCTAAACGCACTTGGGTAAACATTTGTACCAGAGTGGCGCTTAGACTGTGCTTAGCTTGGGTGATTTTTTGAATTTTTAATCCAAAATTACAAAAAAAATTTTTTGAAAAAAAAATTAGAAACAAAAAATTTTTTTTTTCCAAAATCAATTATTTTGTTGAAAAAAGCAGAAAGTTCTCTGAATCATTTAAATCGGACGCTTAGTTCTCTCAAAAACAGCCATTTATTTTAAATTTAGCTCTGTATCTCCGAAACCTATGGGCCTACCTTTGCCAAAAACTAATCAGCACATCTCCCTATCAATAGGAATCGAATGTTTTTCAAACCATTCAAATCGGTTGATCCGTTCTCTCAAAAACTCGCTTTCTATTTTTTGCACTCTTTGCTCCATATCTCCGTAACGGCTGGACCTGCCTTTGCCAAAAACTAATCAGCACATCTCCCTATCAATAGGAATCGAATGTTTTTTAAACCATTCAAATCGGTTGATCCGTGCGCCCGAAAACGTGGACGAAAAAAAGCGGACATACAAAACACACACACACACACACACACACACACACACATCCATTTTTTCTGAAGTATGCCAAAATGTTCAGAAACCTTCAAAACGTCGAGAAATGTAAAAATTTTTGATTTCGATTTTTGGACGATTACTATAACTTACCCTACGGGAAGTTAATAAGAGACTCTACGAACAAGCCAAACCAATTTAGATTTTGGTTTGTTAGTTAGTTTATTGAATTGAATTTATCTTTATTGAATTTTAAAGTCTATCTAAGACAAATAAACCGAAAATAGATAGACTTTGAAATTAAATGAAGGACTCTACTGACGAGCAAACCGAACCTGGACAGATTTCGAATTTGAAAAAGATCTACTGATGACCAGACTGAAATTTCTGAAACGGTAAAGATATCCAAAAAATGTCAATTTCATTAAGGGGGTATTCTAGTGTCGAAATTCAAAAAAATCGATTTTTTTTTAACTTCCCGTAGGGTAAGTTATAGTAATCGTCCAAAAATCGAAATCAAAAATTTTTACATTTCTCGACGTTTTGAAGGTTTCTGAACATTTTGGCATACTTCAGAAAAAATGGATGTGTGTGTGTGTGTGTGTGTGTGTGTGTGTTTTGTATGTCCGCTTTTTTTCGTCCACGTTTTCGGGCGCACGGATCAACCGATTTGAATGGTTTAAAAAACATTCGATTCCTATTGATAGGGAGATGTGCTGATTAGTTTTTGGCAAAGGCAGGTCCAGCCGTTACGGAGATATGGAGCAAAGAGTGCAAAAAATAGAAAGCGAATTTTTGAGAGAACGGATCAACCGATTTGAATGGTTTAAAAAACACTCGATTCCTATTGATAGGGAGATGTGCTGGTTAGTTTTTGGCAAAGGTAGGCCCAGCGGTTCCGGAAATACAGAGCTAAATGTTAAAAAAATGGCAGTTTTTGAGAGAATTAAGTGTCCGATTTAAATGACTTAAAGAACTTTCTGCTTGTTTCAACAAAATAATTGATATTGGAAAAAAAAATTTTTGTTTCTTTTTTTTTTTTCAAAAAATTTTTTTTGTAATTTTGGATTAAAAATTCAAAAAATCACCCAAGCTAAGCACAGTCTGAGCGCCACTCTGGTACAAATGTTTACCCAAGTGCGTTTAGACTGTTTATGTATTGGGGCACTTTTCCAATTTTGTGAAAATTATTGAAAAATGTGAAAATGCCGCCAAGCTAAGCACAGTATAAGTGAAAATGTCGCACAGAATTATTTGCAAATGCGTTTAGACTGTGACTATGCGGGAGCACTTTTTCAATTTTGTGTAAATTTGGCAACTATTTTTTTTTTTTGAAATTTGATTCGAAATGAAATGACGATTGTTAATGTTCTGGAGATGATAAATTGATTTATTTATAATCAACTTTCCGTAGAATAAGTTATAGTAATCGCACAAAAATCGAAAATGAAAGTTTTTATATATCTTTACGTTTCAAAGGTTTCTGAATATATTGGCATACCTTAGAGAAAATTGATGTATGTGTGTGTATGTGTGTGTGTGCGTGCATTTTTGTGTGTTCAGATACAAAGTTTCGTCGACGATTTCGGGAACCGGGATGAAGCAATTTGAATAATTCAAAAAACATTCGATTCGTATTGATAAGGAGACGTGCTGATTAGTTTTTGTCAAAGGCAGGTCCGTTCCGAAGATATGGGGCAAAAACGGTAACTCAGTTTTTAAGAGAACGGAGCGTCCGATTTGTATAATTCAAAAACATTTTACTTGCATTATCAAGATGAAGATTTGATCAAATTTTCATGAAAATAGGTCTAGCGGTTTCGGAGATCTAGTAAAAAAAATAAAAAAAAATAACATTTGGCGGTCAACAATAATCATTAGACATTAGACATATGCACATCAAATTATCAGATATTTTATAGAGATTTTAACAATAAGTATACATTTTGTTAACATTCCTATGGGTTCCGTACCAATGCTTATGCGTTAGACAGCGACGCGGCGCTTACGCGCTTCGATATTTAGTCTCTATGCATTAAAGCAGTACGATTGCTTTGAAAAAAAGTTCAGAATTTCCAAAATATTTCAAAACAAATTTTTCAACGAAAGGTAAGTTTTTGTCAAAAATTTATATAGTTCCTCGAAAATCTATTTTTTTCAGAGTAAATTTTTTTCAAAAATGTTAATCTTTTCAAAAAAAATAATAATTTTTGGTACGGGAAGTTCCAGCAATTTGCCTTAAGGCACGATGCCATGCGCCCAACTAGTTATTTCATATTTTCAAAGTTTGACTATCTAAGAATACCCATATTCTTAATGAAAAGGTTTTTAACTTCCCGTAGGGTAAGTTATAGTAATCGCAAAAAAATCGAAAATGAAAATTTTTATATATCTTTACGTTTCAGAGGTTTCTGAACATTTTGGCATACCTTAGAAAAAATGGATGTATGTGTGTGTGTGTGTGTGTGTGTGTGTGTGTGTATGTATGTGCGGATACAAATTTTCGTCGACGATTTCGGGAACACGGATCAACCGATTTGAATAATTCAAAAAACATTCGATTCGTATTGATAAGGAGACGTGCTGATTAGTTTTTGGCGAAGGCAGGTCTAGCCGTTTCGGAAATACGGGGCAAAAAGTACCGGAAACGGTAACTCAGTTTTTAAGAGAACGGAGCGTCCGATTTTAATAATTCAAAAAACATTTTACTTGTATTGACAAGATAAAGAATTGATCAAATTTTCATAAAGGCAGGTCTAGCGGTTTCGGAGATCTAACAAAAAAAGTAAAAAGAAATGCCATTTGGCGGTCAAAAATGATCATTAGACATATGCACATCAAATTTTTAGATATTTTATAGAGATTTTAACAATAAGTATAAATTTTGTTTATTTTCCTATGGGTTCCGTATCAATGTTTACCCGTTAGACAGCGACGCCGCGCATACGCGCTTTATATTTTGTCTCTATGCAGTTAAAGCAGTGCGATTGCTTTGAAAAACAAGTTCAGATCTTCCAAAATATGTCAAAATAAAGAAAACATTTTTTTTTTCAAAAAAAAAAAAAATTAAAAAAAATTTTTTTCAAAAAAAAAATTTTTTTAAAAAAAAGTAATTTTTTGTCCAATTTATAGTTTGTCAAAAATCTTATTTTTTCGAAGTAAATTTTTTTCAAAAATGTTAATCGTTTTTAAAAAAAATAATAATTTTTGGTACGGGAAGTTCCAGCAATTTGCCTTAAGGCACGATGCCCTAATTGCCTTAAGACAGAATTCCACTTACAGCTAGTTGAAAATTTTAATTATTTTCGGAGATATAGGCATTTTACTGACTCGGTCTCCATACTGGTTTGGCTTCACGCAAACTTTAAATGCGTTTTTCTCAGAACAGACTTTTTCATTACTGTTGACACGATTTCTCAAATTTTAATTACTTGAAATGTTCAGAGAGTCTTGCTTATAAGCCTATCTATATCCCGAACTAGGATTGTCCCAAATTCCAATTTTTACTATTTTTAAAAAAAATCGAGGAACTCAAAAAACAGTAAAAAAACACTTTTTTCCAAACAGTCGCCAATTTGTGAAAAACCATTTTTTTGCTTATCGCTAGTTCGGGCGATTGCGACATCATTGTAGATTAATAATCTTCTTATTTTTTGCATTTTCGATGGCTAGGAGGGCTGAAATCAAGTCAAGACTGAGGTGCCAATTTTTTGAGACCACCCACTTCATCAGCTGCCAGTTTTTACAATTTTCAACTTTTTTATTTTTTAATTTTTGTTTTGTATTTTAATTGGTAAAAAAATGGATAGTAAAAACATTCATTGCTTTCTTTTACGACACTTTAAAAATGACCTAAAATTCATCGCTCTACACTAAAAAGACCCCCTTAATGGTGGTAAAATATGACGTTGGGGTAAGGTCAAAATAACAATTCCAAATTGTGCATTCAATAAATTTATATAAGAAATAAATACACAAACTTACAAGTATGCGAACATCTAACTTAATCATCATGAAACGACTTATAATATTAATAATAAAAATATCTATAATAACATATGACTCGATGTTATAAAAATTCACTAAATCATCATCAACTTTCAAGCTCGAGCAAAAGACTACCATCTCCTCATTATAATCATCATCATCATCACCAGTAGTAAATAATGTACATTTAAATAATTCTCTAACACAACAATGATTATAAATTGCATAATGACACTGATTGATTGGTCGTCGTCGTCGTCGTCTATCAACAACAACAACTATCACAACAATAGCAACAACAATAATAGTCGATGATCACGATATGAGCGTGTCGTCGAGCTCGTCCTCCTTTCCTTCGGGCGAGAGAATGGTCTTGCGGAGCACCTTGCTGACGACGTCGTTCAGGGACTCCCGGGCGCCGATGTCCAGAAGGACAGAGTAACGCTGAAACAGAGCAAAAGAGGTAAAGAGAATGCATTAGAGGTATCATTATATAAGTAATTGTGTGTCTAAAGAAGTTTCATTTCAAAAACGAAAAGATTATACTTTTATAGCTTATTGGGCATAGTTTAAAAGGTCTCGACGAGTAGAGTAGAAAAATGATTATTAACTTCCCGTAGAGCAAGTTATAGTAATCGCAAAAAAATTGAAAATGAAAATTTTTGCATTTCTCGACGTTTCAAAGGTTTCTGAACATTTTGGCATACCTTAGAAAAAATTGATGTTTGTGTGTGTGTGTGTTCATTGTATAAGTCTTTGCGCAGCCTATGTCAGACATTTCACGATTTGTGTGCGGATACAAATTTTCGTCGACGATTTCGGGAACACGGATCAACCAATTTGAATAATTCAAAAAACATTCGATTCTTATTGATAAGGAGACGTGCTGATTAGTTTTTGGCGAAGGCAAATCTAGCCGTTCCGAAGATACGGGGCAAAAAGTGCCAAAAACGGTAACTCAGTTTTTAAGAGAACGAAGCGTCCGATTTGTATGATTCAAAAAACATTCAGTTCGTAATGACGGGGAAAAGTGGTTATTAGTTTTTGGCAAAGATAGTCCCAGCGGTTTCGGAGATACAGAGCTAAATTTGCAAAAAATGGCAGTTTTTGAGAGAACTAAGCGTCCGATTTAAATGATTCAAAGAACTTTCTACTTGTTTCAACAAAATAATTGCTTTTGGAAAAAAAATGTGTTTCTAATTTTTTTTTTTTAAATATTTTTGTAATTTTGGATTAAAAAAATTTAAAAAATAACCCAGGCTAAGCACAGTCTAAGCGCCATTCTGGTACAAATGTTTACCTAAGTGCGTTTAGACTGTTTATGTAATCCAATTTTGTGAAAGAAAGAAAACTATTGAAAATTGAGTGAAAATGTCGCACAGAATTATTTGCAAATGCGTTTAGACTGTGACTATTGGAAGCACTTTTTCAATTTTGTGTAAATTAGGTAACTATTTTTTTGAAATTGAATTCGAAATGAAATGACGATTGTTAATTGATTTATGCTTTATGATTTCCATTTGATTTGCTCAGATATAACAAGAGAGCAAAAATAATGAAAGTTGCAGTATTTGTAATAATATATTTGAAAATGTTTAAAATTTCTCGAATATTTCATTACAGTACGGAAAGTTCCAGCAATTTGCCTTAAGGCACGATGCCATACGCCCCACTAGTTTTTACTTTTTTTACTAGATCTCCAAAACCTGCTCCGTTCTCTTTAAAAACTGAGTTACCGTCTTTGGCACTTTTTGCCCCAAATCTTCAGAACAGCTAGACCTGCTTTTGACAAAAACTAATCAGCACGTCTCCTAATCAATACGAATCGAATGTTTTTTGAATTATTCAAATCGGTTGATCCGTGTTCCCGAAATCGTCGACGAAAATTTGTATCCGCACACACATACATACACACACACACACACATACATCCATTTTTTCTAAGGCATGCCAAAATGTTCAGAAACCTCTGAAACGTGAAGATATATAAAAATTTTCATTTTCGATTTTTTTGCGATTACTATAATTTGCCCTACGTTAACAATTATTTATTCAAGGCAAGTTCAAAATGGGTCATTTAATTCTCATTTAGTGCTATTAATCAATATCTACTAACCTTATGAACCTCATCTCCGTGTCGAAGCCTCAAGATAGCCACAAGACCGAGTTCTGAGTTAGCCTTAACATAACCATTCTTCTCTTTGGTGCCATTGACCAGGGCAGGAACAAGTGCACGAATCAAATCCTGTGATGTGTATTCGACCGAGACATATTTGGCTAAATAAACAGATGCTCTGCCCAAGAGCTGCTTGACATCATTGCTGGCATGGTTCATCGTCTGAAATAATAAAATGATTCAAGAATAAATAAAATCGAATATTATCATTTATGATTAGTTTTACTATTATCGTTATTATTATTATTGTCATTATTATTATTATTATTAATGTCGTTTTTCTCTTTTGTTTTGTTTTCTGTAATCCTATAATGTAATGAAGAAAATACGCCTTAAAATAACTTGCTATAACTTCACTAGTATAAGGTCTACTACTGGGTAGCCTTATAACAAAATAAAATGTTATTTTATCAACACAATTACTAAATGTCTATACTGACAGCTTGTTATTTATATTGAATAATATATATATATATATATATATATATATATATATATATATATATACGTGGTCTGTTCAAAAAGTACCCGGAATTACTAATAATTAAATTTCGCGGGTCTGGAGTGTCTGATTGTCAAAATTTTTTTTTATTGTGTTGGTATACATGCCCCTAAAGTATGATGAAATTTTCAGCTATATTCACTGTTTACTTTGTCTGTGGTAGTCGCTAAGGTTCGACGTGTTTTTCTGAGCTCGGCGATTTTTACAATGGAAGAATTGAAAAGTCAAAGAATTTGTATTAAATTTTGCGTAAAAAATGAAATAAAGTGTTGCAAAGTGCAAAAATTCACCAGATATGGCTCCGTGTGACTTTTTCCTATTCCCAAAGTTGAAGAGACCCATGAAAGGACGGCGGTTTTCCTCTATTGAAGAAAATCGCTGAGAGTGCTCAAGGACATATCAAAAAGTGAATATCAAGGGTGCTTCGAAAATTGGAAAAAACGCTGGCATAAGTGTATTATATCTGGGGGGGACTACTTTGAAGGGGACCACATTAATGTAGACGAATAAATAAATATTTTTTTGAAAAAACGAAAATTCCGGGTACTTTTTGAACAGACCACGTATATATAAATCTCGTGTCACGATGTTGGTTCGCGATGGACGCCCAAACTACTGAACCGATTTCAAATTTTATTGCCTCATCGTGTGCATATATATCCAACTCAGGTTATAGAAAATTTTGAAAAGTAAATTTGAAATATAAATATATAATTTTTATAAATTTCTAAAAATTTTGACAGAAAATGACCAAAAAAAATGCAAAACACAAATGACAAATGTCAAAATTTAAGGAAATTTCGATATATAATTTTTGAAAAAAAATTTGAAATTTCAAAAAATAAAATTCAAAAACATGTACATATATAGAAGTATCCAACATTTAAATCCAAATTTGATGAAATGCTATATTCAAAATCCCTGTTTATATTTTTAAATCTAATTAAAAATCAAAGCTTAAAAATTTGAATAAATTTTGACATGTAAAAAAATTAAATGTTATTTGTCAGTATTTATGAAAATACTTATATAAATAGATTTTCGATTTTGATTTAATTGATTAGCTTACCAAATTATTTCGGAAACCAAAATAAGAAGCAAATAAATTAATTATTCCAAGTTATGTTATAGGCAATATTGTCAAGCAAATTATAGATACAAAACATTATTGTAAAATAAATATTATCATATTATATTAATTTTGGACCAAGAAGGAAATATTTTGACATTTATAAATTTAGTGCATATTGGATATATGAAATTGACATTCACTATTTTTCAATTAAATGCAAATGTAAAAAACCAAATATTTATATAAAAAATTGTATATTTAGATAAAGATACTGCGTTGATTTAGACTAAAATTTAATTTATTCTTTAATTAAAACAAAAATTGGCATAAACAAAACTAAAATAAACAAAACACTATGATGCGTTGGAATTATTTATCGGAGTGTAAAGAAATTTGTGTAATTAAAATATAATATTATTATTAATATATCAGTTGAGATATATTTTGATTGTCATCGCAAATGCTAATCTTACAAGAAATTGTAGCCTTTTAAATGGAATAGTACAATCTGAGGGTATCATTGGAATCTGACAAAAACAAACTAGACAAACTAAATATTATATCATATCATATTAAATTTTGACTAAAAAGAAAATATTTTGATAGTTATAATTAATTTGAAATAAAATGCAAAAATCAGATCTTTATGTAAAAAAATATTTATTTCCACAATATTCCTGTGTTGATTTAGCCAAACTTATGAATTTAACAATTATATAATTATTCACTGATGACATAAAATAGTTATTAATTTATTTACAAATAAATAATATTTGAAAGAAAATTTTATTGACATATATGACATGAGTATAATAAACGTATAATAAACAAAAAAACTATGACGCGAGTGAATTAATTTTTGAAGTATGAAATGTCGAATAATTTTGAAAATTATAACAAGTTTTTAACTATTTGTCAAAGAATCAGAGTCCAAATCTATTAAATATTTGATTTTTGGCACTTTTATTAATTTTTGATCAATTTAGGCATATTTTTTATGGCAAAACAACGTTTGCCGGGTTAGTTAGTATATATATATATATATATATATATATATATATATATATTAGGGTGGTCCTTAAAATGGTCATTTTCGAATTTCCTTGCTCCCAGGGGCTCAAATGGTTCCAAATTGATAAAAAACAATTCTCTGAAAGTTTTAGCTCTTAATATTAACGTTTAGATAGAGCGCAATTCAATCAAAGTTTTGTATGGAAATAGCATGGAAAAATTTTCAAAAATTTTAAAAATGTTTTTTAGATGTAATTTAGCGAACAAATGAATGAATAGAACTCATTCATTTGTCGCTAAGTTACATCTAAAACATTTTTTTTTAATTTTCAAAATTTTTTCCATGCTCTTTCCATACAAACTTTGATTGAATTGCGCTCTATCTAAACGTTAATATTAAGAGCTAAAACTTTCAGAGAATTGTTTTTTATCTATTTGGAACCATTTGAGCCCCTGGGAGCAAGGAAATTCGAAAATTACCATTTTAAGGACCACCCTAATATATATATATATATATATATATTATCATTTATCATTCCTTACCCTGACAAATGGTGTCAACAGCTGCTGCGGCAGCTTGCTGTCCTTCTCCTGCATCATCAGATGGTGGAATAGATAGGCGCAGGCCCTGATAGCCGAGCATGCCACTTGAGACTTGTCACTGGCCAGTGCATTTGCCAAGAATCTTGTCGTCCTGACCTCGTATGCTTCGCAGAGGATGCTCTTGGGACGTTCTTTGATCGCAACTGCCAGGGCGCTCACCCTTGCACTGAGCTCGTTCTCGGGACGAGATGACATATCATCAACTAGTAAAATAATCAAGCAATTAGAAATAAAATAGGATCGATTAATAAAGGACTTATTTTGTTTGTTTGGTTACCCACCCAAAATGTGTTCAGTCAAAACTTCATCCATTTTCTGAGGTTCAAGGAATCCACATACCGAACCCAGGCAGCCGGCTGCACGAATTCTCACACCTTCCTCAGACGGAGTGTAGTTCTGCTCCAAAAGACTGATCAGGGTCTGAGTGATTTGCTTTCGGACTGGTTCAGACATTTTGTCGCCACATGGACATGTTACACCACGTAGAGCTTGAAGCATTGTTTCCCTGAAAATGATTTTTATTTACAATAAACGATAATTTACTTTCCGGCCGCAGAGTAAGTTATTGTAATCGTTAAAAAATCTAAAATAAAAATTTTTGCATTTCCTTACGTTTCAGAATACAATTTTTCATCCACGATTTCGGGCGCACGGATCAACCAATTTGAATGGTTCAAAAAACATTCGGTTCTTATTGATAGGGAGATATGCTGATTAGTTTTTGGCAAAGGCAGGTCTGGCCGTTACGGAGATACGGAGCAAAGAGTGCAGAAAATACGAATCGAGTTTTTGAGAGAGCGGAACATCCGATTTGAATGATTCAAAAAACATTTAATTCGTAGTGATAGGGAAAAGAAGTGATTAGTTTTTGACAAAGGCAGAATCATCCGTTTAGGAGATACCGAACTAAATGTGCAAAAAATTCCAGTTTTTGAAAGAAATAAGCATCCGATTTGAATCTGCTTGTGTTGACAAAACAATTGCTTTTGGAAAAAAAAAATTATTTTTTTTGTATCACTAGTTTTTAAATTAATTATGAGGAATTTTATACAAGGCTCAAAAGCGAAAAAAACAAACATATCGAAAAATATAAAATATAAAGATACATACATAAAGGAGTTTTATATATAATCGAATAAAAAAGTTCTTACTAAAAGCCCGAAATTATTATTAAAAAAAGCTGTTTTTTATTGTATCCTTAAGGGGCACAACTAGTGTGAAATTTTCAATAAATCGAATTTTCAATTTTTAAATATTTCGATGAGTTATACCTTTAAAAACAACATACAAATCGATATCTTAAATAGTTTTTGAGTCACAGCTATTTAAAGAGTATATATATATAGTATATAACGAATGATAGTATAACGATCATTTTTATCTTTAAACGCGATTTTCTCGAAACAGAATTTTCCGAATTTGCTGCAGCGATTACTCAAAAACAAATGATCCGATCACTATCAATTTTTTTTACATGTTCTATATATAGTTCTCTGTAAAATGAACTATCGATTTTTTGATCGCATCAAAAATCGAATTTTGGCAGTTCAAAAACGACCAAAATTTTAGATAAAATTCGATTTTTTTAAAAAAACGCCGTCATTTTGTCAATTTTTGATTTTTTTATCGTAGTTCATTTTACAGACAATATTATCTAGTTTAACGAACTTTTTTTTTTAAATTTCATTCACGTAGAAGGCCGGAATCACTGCAGCAGTGAAGACACTTTTTTTGTCGCGCCGTTGGATATCGACGATAATATAAAAAATAATTAATTTTTTTTTTCAAAAATTTTACTATGTATTCTTAAAGCATGTATAAATAAATTTCTAAAATTTTGAAATGATTGATAAAGCATTTTTTTTAATATAAATTCCCAAAAATCACCTTTCTTTTAGGCGGTTACACTAGTTTTGTCCCTGAAATGGAATTTGTTATTTTAAAGGCTCCTCTTTCCCGTTCCGGATTTGTGTGACTAAAAACTGGCGACCCAATTTTGACTTAAAAAAATATGGTCACCTTACTAAAATCACAAACCATTTTAGAGGTTTATATGGAATTTCTTTTCAATTTCACTCTGTTTAATTCAAGTAAAAATGATTTGAATCATGTTTCTTCTCGCTCAATTTCGTTATCATTTACCTGACTGACGAGTCCTCCTGCGAGTTCTTGATACCGTTGTGTATCTCGACAAAGATCGGGTCGGCCCTGGTGTGTATCACAATCAGTTGGCTCAAAGCCTGACCAGCCTTGATCCTGACCACCTTGTTGGCATCACTGAGGGACTTCAGGAAGGTCGTCTGCAGCTGAGGCAGGAACTGCTTCAGCATCACGCCGACCTAAATAATTGAAATAGATAAATTGCAATCGAATTTCAAATCAATCAATTTGGTAGGTTTTCGTTATTAGAATATGTCGAAATGTAAATCTTACCTTAGCCAATAAAATGGCCAGAGTTTCCAGCACAGCAGCTTTCACATCGGCATTAAACCTGTCTCCCAAAATTCTAGAAAACATCAAAACAAAATTACAATGTGCAATAGGCGGTTGTGTTATTAAAATAATTATCAGTATAAAATCAGTTCTCACCTGATAAGGGGGCCCGTTATGTGAACAACGCTCGGCTGCAGAGCCGCCGCCGACGTCAACTTGATTATTTCGCCAAGACCTGTAATATTTGTGTGCATTTTATATAGATATAAAAATATGTATTAAAAAAATAAAACTACTTGTCAAAGTTGCAATTGGTTTTTGTTTTTTGTTTACCATCAATCGAACACTAGATAATTATTGCCTAGATAATAAAATTGAGTATGTACTATAAATTTAGACCAACTATCTTATTTTACAGAGCGAAATTTTACTTAAGCTGCTGTTGAATATAAAATAGCAATTAATCGACTTATTCAACAAAATATAAATTAATTTAAGAGTCATTAAAGTTCCATAAAAAAAATGTGGATTTATTACACATTATTGAAAAGGAACGAATACGTTAACTTGAGTATTTTCTAAAAGCAAATTTTCAAAAATTAATAACTTTTATAATTAAGCCAGTTTTTTGTAGGACTTTAATTGTTTAGTATGTTCATTAAGATTAAGTACTCTATCGTTATACCAAGTAAATCGTCTAATTTTAATTTTAACAAATGTCAAAAAACTACTTATTTTCTCAAACTTTGATGAATTTTTAAAATTAAACGACTTGTCGTAAGGCCGCAATATTTCAGTAAGTTCTTGAGACCATGATATACATCGCCAAAAAAAGTTCCATAAAAATCGGCTTAAATTTTTTTTCAACAGTTAATTACAAGAAAACGGCTCGGTAGATTTTTACCTAAAACTAATCAGTATTATTATTCCCAACTAATATCTTTCGAACAGCTTTTTTTTAAATCGATTCAGAATTGCGGGCTAAAACGTGGACGAAAATTTTTCACTTTTCTGCGATTTACAAAGAAACGGCTTGGCCGATCGTCGCACAAAACTCAGAAACGCTAGTCCTCATCGAGATACATCGAATGGCTTTTAAATTTTTGAAATCGGTCCAGCCGTTTTCGAGAAAACGTCGATTTACGGCAAAAAATCTGTTCACATACACACACACGCATATTTTTTCCAAATTCGGTCTCATTCGATTCAGAATGGCTTGAAACGTCGAGAAAACATAAAATTAGCGAATCGGATTTTTTGATGAAAACATAAACTTCTCCTTCGGGAAGTTAAATATAACTAGTGGTGTATGACATCGTGGCTTAAGGCAAATTGCTGGAACTTCTAGCACTTAAATAAACAAAACTTAATCAATCGGATTTAAAATGAGAAAATTTTCTAATATTTATAAGAATTATATAAACTAAATTGCCAGAATTAAAATTAAAATCTAAATTATATAAAATTTAGCCAGAATTCAAATTAAAATTCGAATTATTTTCGACATTCAAAAAAAATTCGTCAACACACGCAGAAAGATTTTTTGAATCATTCAAATCGGATGCCTAGTTCTCTCGAAAACTGCCATTTTTGCACATTTTGCTCGGTATCTCCGAAACGACTGGACCTGACTTTGCCAAAACTAATCACCACTTCTCCTCATCCTTACAAATTGAATGTTTTTTAGATCGGTTGAACAGTGCTCCCTAAATCGTCGACAGAAAAATTTGTATCCGCATACACACAACATACATTTTTTCTAAGGTATGACTTAAAATGTTCAGAAAACTTTAAAACGTGAAGGAGTGCTTAATTTAAAATTAATTGTTAAAAGATAAGTATTATAAAATCAAGGTAATAATGATAACATTCTAGGTCCATGGAGACCAAAGACAAGGGCAAAGCGGAGATTTTAGTCGGTATTATACCCAGGCTGTATTGAATCTGACATACCCAGGCAAAAGACCTAATCTGGGATGCAAAAAGGCGTTTCCTTTGCTACACAAAAAGAAAATCCTACTGAAATTTGATTACCTTGTGAAGCACTCTCCTTAGCATCGGGCATTCCATTTAGCACTGCCTCTCTGAAAATTGGTAAAATCGGAGCAACGCCCTTGGGCAAACAGAAACCCGGCAACAGTTCACCAGGTACCAAATCGCTACTAGCAAATCTCACAGCCTGTCTCACATCGGAAACATGTGCGATTTGTTGCTCTGAATCTAAAGTCTAAAAATAAAACACACGAAGGTAATATATATAATCAGATATTGGATATTTATTTAGTGAGTTTTACCTTTGTTACTGCGTTAAGGGCTTCCCAACTTCTGATCAAAACATCCTTATCAGAATCTGTAAACAAGCGAATCAGTCCTCTCAATAATTGCGGTACGTATTGGGAATAATCGGCCCTGGATTGTGAGCAGAAGGCACACAGAAGTGTTACCGAGGCCCTTCTAATCTAAAAATCAAATATGATAGTATTATTATTTTATAAACACTCGGTTGCCTCAGTTGCTTGTATGTTATTATTACTTCAGTTTGTTCTGATTTAGTAGAATCCATCAAAGAGTCCATAACAGTTCTTATTCCGGTCTCGTCATTAATTGCTAACATAACAGCTTGGCAATTTTCTAACTCCTGAGTCTGCAATTATAATAAATATATAATAATTGATTTAATATTATAATTGATTAAGATACTATTAATTAACTTCCAGTTATAGTAATTGCAAAAAAAATCGAAAATGAAAATTTTTATATATCTTAACGTTTCAGAGGTTTCTGAATATTTTGGCATACCTTAGAGAAAAAATGGATGTATGTGTGTGTGTGTGTGCGTGTGTGTGTGTGTGTGTGTGCGGATACAAATTTTCGTCGATGATTTCGAGAACACGGATGAAGCGATTTGAATAATTCAAAAAACATTCGATTCGTATTGGTGAGTAGACGTGCTGATTAGTTTTGGGCAAAGGCAGTTCTAGCCGTTCCGAAGATACGGGGCAAAAAGTGCCAAAAACGGTAACTCAGTTTTTAAGAGAACGGATCGTCCGATTTGAATAATTCAAAAATCATTTTATTTGTATTGACAAGATGAAGAACTAGTCGAATTTTCATGAAGGCAGGTTTCTAATAAAAATAGTAAAAAAATGCCATTTGGCGGTCAAAAATGATCATTAGACATATGCACATCAAATTATGAGATATTTTATAGAGATTTTAACAATAGGAATAAATTTTGTTTACATTCCTATGGGTTTCGTACCAATATTTACGCGTTAGACGGCGACGCGGCGCTTACGCGCTTTGACATTTTGTCGCTATGCAGCAGTACGATTGCTTTGAAAAAAAGAATTTTCAAAATATGTCAAAATAAAGAAAACATTTTTTTTTCTAAAAATTTTTTTTTTCAAAAAAAATAATTTTTTGTCAAATTCCTAGTTTCTCAAAAATCTAATTTTTTCGAAGTAATTTTTTTTCAAAAATGTTAATCGTTTTTAAAAAAATAATATTTGGTACGGGAAGTTCCAGCAATTTGCCTTAAGGCACGATGCCCTAATTGCCTTAAGACAGAATTCCACTTACAGCTAGTTTTTGGATTAAAAATTCAAAAAATGACTCAGGCTAAGCACAAACTAAGCGACACTGTGGTACAAATGTTCACCCGAGTGCGTTTAGACTGTTTATGTACTGGAGCACTTTTCCAATTTTGTGAAAACTATTGAAAGAAAAATGTGAAAATGCCGCCTAGCCAAGCACAGTATAAGTGAAAATATCGCACAGAATTATTTGCAAATGCGTTTAGGCTGTGACTATACGGGAGCACTTTTTCAATTTTGTGTAAATTATTAGGCAACTATTTTTTTTGAAATTGAATTCGAAATGAAATGACAATTGTTGATTGATTGTTGATTTATGATTTACATTTGATTAGATCAGATATAACAAACAAGATAGCAAAAATAATTAAAGTTGCAGTATTTGTAATAATATATTTGAAAACGTTTAGAATTCTTCAAATATTTTATTACAGTACGGGAAGTTCTAGCAATTTGCCTTAAGGCACGATGCCATACACTATTAATTTTTTTTCTACTCGCCTCTCTTCCCTCGTTCCTGGCATCGCACAATGATTCAATCAGCGCCGGTAATATTTTATGCAAATGTCGTGCCAAAGCATCGCCAGCTGCAGCAGATGCCAGGGCCCCCAGAGCCTTCGTGTTGGCCGGTCGAGCAGTCAATTGAGGAACCAGATAAGGCAGCACAGCCCTGGATTTCACAGCCATAACTTGTCGCAAACCGTCTAGAGAGCTGGCTGCTAATTCCGGATCGGGGTTGTTCTACAAGTGGAAAACAACAACATTATTATTTCAGTCATGTACATTATTGTGATCATTGCCGTGCCTGGGTATATGGCCGCCTGAGTGCGAGCATTTTTTGAACGCCCTTGAAAATAACTTAATAGGAAAATATCAAGTATGTTCTCACAAAAAAAATCGGCTTGCAATGTTTATGTTTTCCCAACGTTTCTAGTCATTCTGAATCGTTTAACACCAAATTTGAAAAAGAAGTGTGATTTTTGACTTTTTGCCAACGTTTTCTTAAAAACGGTTAGATCGATTTCAAAAATTTAAGAGTTATACGATGTAACTAGATAAGGGGGCGTCCATTAATCACGTGAGCTCGTTTTTAAGGATTTTTGGACCCCCGCCCTTGGTGATACGTGGTGATATTCAAAATTACCCCCCCCCCTTCCCCACCAAACATCACGTGCATTTTTAGTTACGTGAAAAAACTAAAATTTTTGATTCTTTTTTTGAAAATTTTTGAATTTTTTTTAAAAAATTCGTTGAAAAATAAATACACGTGATATCTTACCATACCCCCCCCCCCCTAAAAATCTCACGTGATTAATGGACGCCCCAACGACAACCGTCTGTCACTTTTGTACAATAATCGGCCAAGTCGATTCTAATCAGCAGAAAAGTGTACAAATGTTCGTACACGTTTCAGCCAAAAATTCTGCATCGTTTTTAAACATTCAGAAACCGTTTGAAAAATATCATTTGGGAATCGTGCTAATTAGTTTTAAGAGATCGGTCCGATCATTTCTTCGTATTTAATTGTTAAATATTTTTATACGATGATATTTATAAATTTTGGCGATAGAGATCATGATCTCAAATTTAACTAAATATTTCGACCCTACGACAAGTCGTTTTAATTTTCAAAATATTATCAAAGTTTGAAAAAATGAGCAGCACTTTTTTACATAAGGCAAAATTTCATCTTTAGTCGACGGTTTTCTTTGCAAATTTATTCTTTTTGCCGACGATACAAGTTTAATTATTAAAGAAAATTTTTTTGAGGAAGTCAATTTTAAACTAAACGAATCAATGATTCTAATTGGTTCAACTCTAATAGCCTTTTACTTAATAACGATAAAACTAAAATAATGTCGTTTCGAACAGTCAATAGGAGTAATAAATTCAAAAAATTTAAATTGGGATAATCATATTTATTTGTCATTAATACCTAAAATATCCAGAACTTGTTTTATGTTAAGAGTACTTAAATCTAAAATTAGTTTATATTGTCTTTTTTCTATCTATTACTCCAACTTCTACTCGCATTTGGTCTACGGAACTCAATTTTGGGTTTTTTCAGCATCTTTAAAACATGTTTTCAAACTTCAGAAAAGAGCACTAACAATCATATTCTCTCTTAACTCGATGACAAGTTGTAGAAATATTTTTCAGAAGTATAACATTCTTACCGTTTCTAACCAATCGAATAATTGCCGGGAAAACTCTAAAAACAGCCTTTTTCTTTTACACATACAAACGTTTTTTAACTAAAACCTTGAACTAGCTGTAAGTGGAATTCTGTCTTAAGGCAATTAGTGCAAGTCGACGGTTTTCTTAAAAATGTGCAATCCTATTTCAAAATTCGATAAAATTCCATAAGCACGTGCTGGTTAATTTGGCCACACGATCGGCCCAGCTGTTTCTTTAGAATTATCAAAAAAGTATCAAATTTTTCGTCGACGTCATAGCCTAAATTGGTGAATAGATTTTGAAAATTCACAAACCATTACAAAGGAGCCATTTGAGAATAGAAGAATTTGATTAGTTTTTGTTTTTGTCGAGTCGTTTCTCAGTTATTGATTAATACATTTTTTTGGCGATTTTGGATCCTGTTATTACATACTACACGTTTATTTCTTGTTCAAAAAAATATTATAATATATTATATTGTAATATATTTTCTATAATTATGTCGATTATTTAAACATGTTTAAAAGGTCCAGCATCTTGCTTTAAGGCAAAGATGCCACTTACACCAACATTATACACTTAATAATGATTTGGAAACAAAGTTTTCAATAACCGCTTTTTGATTCGATCTCGCTTTGAATACGACCGCCTTCGGCTGATTTTGACTATGGTCGTCTTCCAACTCAGCGGATTTTCAACACGGGCGCGAATGAATTCAGCGGACTTTTAGTTTGACTGCCTCTTAATCCAGCGGTCTTTCAATTTGACCGCCTTTTAATTCAGTGGACTTTCAATGCGACCGCTTTTTATCACGGCTGCTTTTCGTTATGGCCGCCTTTTAATTTGTTCTTTCTTCGATTTGGCCGCCTCTCGGCCGCCCCAAAAAGGCGCACGCAGCCCTGATTATGATTGATAAAAATCGCAGGTACTTACCAGGTCCTCCAACATAGAGGGTAGGACATCATCAAGAGCTCTGGGACCAACTGTGGCATGCAAACCATCGAAAGTCTTAGCAGCCGCCTTTCGGACTTCCGGCAGAGGATCGCATAAAGCCCTTCTAACAGTGGGCACTAAAGAATTGGCGAACGTCAACACGGTATCACGAGATGTCGACGACATAATTTCACTAAGACCTGAATTGAAACCAGATTGATACACATGAAACAATTATATCACAAAGGTTTTGTACAAGACTTGTCTGCTATCTCACCGATACAAACGCCTTGTCTCTGATCAGGTTGATCGCTGTTCAGGCCTTTCTCCAAAATAGGAATGATTTCAGGTAAAACCCTTTCACCAAGCTTCCTCACAAGATCACCCAACGTTCTGGCAGCTACCTGTCTCTTATCATGGCTGGTGCTAGCTAAACAGCCAAGTAATAAGCCAAACAATGTTGGAAGAATTTCTCTAAGGGTCCGAGGAGTGTTTGTGACAACAACTTTCCAAACATGCAAAGCCGCTTGACGTACCATCAAAGCAACATCACTGCGTCCCATATAAAGACCTAAAAGAATCAAATGGTTCAAAAACAGATAATAGAATTGTTGAATTTATTTCACTAACTTACCTGCAAGTACCCTATTTCGCCTATCAGCTCCCAAAGCGGTGATAATAGCTGCATGAGACTGTTCCGTACCAAAGTTATCATCTTCGCTGGCCGTTTCCGTAGACATTTTACCAGAAACTCCAGAAACTCGGTACAGGAGATCACCAAGAAGTTGAACAGAACTACAAAAACAAACACACATAAATAAAATCAATCAACCAAACAAACCTAGTTCATAATTATATTTTTCATCTACCTGAATCAAAACCAATTTGAATTTAAAAAAAAAATAAAAAGAATTCAGTAAATCTTTTGAGATAACATTTTTTAGCACTATATAAAATGTGAATGATGACACACATTAAGGGTCGAAGCGTACAAAGGAGGAATTTTTGTTTTTTATTTGATGAAATCACATGTTTCGACTGCAAACATGTAAGCAAACTATAAATTTTATTTATATAAATTTTATTTATATAAAAAAAATAAAAGAACTCTACTAACCAGCACAGTTGTAAATATTTTATTAATTAAAAAAGAACTCTACTGACGAGCAAACTGTAAATATTAGGCGAAACCAAAAAAGGACTCTACTGACAAGCAAACTGTAAAAATTATTTAGTATGAAAAGGACTCTACAGACAATAATATTTTAATGGAGAAGGGATTCTACTGACGAACAAACTGTAAATATTTTTTAAAAAAAGGACTCTACTGACGAGCAAACTGTGAATATTAGGCGAGAGAGAAGGGACTCTACTGACGAACAAACTGCAAATATTAGGTAGGTGAAGACAAAAAGGACTCTACTGACGAGCACAATGTAAATATTTTATTAATATAAAAAAAAACTCTACGAGCTCTGTAAATATTATTTTAATAAGAAATTAACTCTACTATCGAGCACAGTGTAAAAAGGGTAAAGGCAAAAAAGACTACTGACAAACAAACTTTAAATATTATTCTAATATGAAAGAACTCTACTGATGAGCGAACTGTAATCTTTATTTAAATAAAACTTCCCGAAGGAGAAATGTATGTTTTCATCAAAAAATCCGATTCGCTAATTTTATGTTTTCTCGACGTTTCAAGCCATTCTGAATCGAATGAGACCAAATTTGGACCAAAAGTATGTGTATGTGTGTGTGTGAATAGATTTTTTGCCGTAAATCGACGTTTTCTCCAAAACGGCCGGACCGATTTCAAAAATTTAAAAGCCATTCGATGTATCTCGATGAGGATTGGCGTTTATCAATTTTGCACGACGATCGGCCAAGCCTTTTCTTTATAAATAACAAAAACGTGAAAAAAATTTCGTCTATGTTTTAGCCCCCAATTCTTAATCGATTTTGAAAATTCAAAAACCGTCCGAAAGATATTGATTGGAAATCGTGCTGATTAGTTTTTGGTGGAGATCGGTCGGGCCGTTTTTGACGATTGTTAAAATTAAAATTATACGATTTACTTGGTATAAAGATAGAGTACTTGGTCTTAATGAACATACTAAACAATTGAAGTCCTACAAAAAACTGGCTCAATTATAAAAATATTCCGACCGAATTGACGTGTTCAATAATGTGTAATAAATCCACTTCGAATTCTTTTAACTACTCATACATTAATTTATCTATCATGGATTAAGTCGATTATTTACACAAATTGGGAAGTTCATGTAACTTGCCTCAAGGCAAAATACCAATACCAACCAGGCTAAGACGAAAATTCCCAATGATCTTATATATAGCCATTTGTAAACGCTAGCATTAATATTATTATTATTATTATTTTACTATTTCTATTATTGTTATTTTGTTATATTTTATTGTTTTTTAGTATTATTTTATTATTCAGAAATTTTATTTATATTATTTATTAATTTTATTTTTATTATTATTTGCTCTTATTTTATATTAAATCATCACACTACGGATATTATTTTCATGTAAATTCTATCCTTTGCACTCTTATTTATTTAAATTTATGTTATTATTTATCAATATTGCTGGATGTTAACTATTTAACAGTTGTAATAAATATTGTAATTAAAAAAAAATATCTACCTGTATCTGATTCTCCAGTTATCATCAAACAATCCCCTCTCCAATTCAGGAAGCAGCAACATAATAGCACTGTCTGCATACAAATTAACAATCCTCTGCCCGGCTTTCAAAGCGGTATCTCTAACATATTCATTCTCATCGGCCAAAGCCTTCAATATTGGATTGATGATCTGACCAATGTACGGTGTAAACTCAGCCGGAAATGCATTGGGCATGTAGATGAACATCATTATGTAACCTGGATAAAATAGAATCAGGCATTAACACTATTACTACCGACATTTCATGTTTACTATTCCTACCGCGACCGGTCAAATGACCGATCATGCAAAATCTATAATTTTTAGTATTGAATGAAGAGTTAATGCTAGCTTAAGACTTTATAAATACAAATACAAAATACTTCTTTTATTTTAAAATGCAAAATATACATTTTATTCAGTTTTATCCAATTTTTTACGATTTTTTTTCTTAGAGGTTTCTTTTTTCTTTTTGGCTGATTTTGTTCGCCCTATCATCTTTCTCAAACATTATCTGGAATATTTTCCTTTAGGGAATCTGTTTTGTATTTGTACTTAGTTGATTTTTTTCTAAATTCTTGTTGGAACTATACGGCAAGTTATTTGGAATAGAAAATTCCTGCCTTGTACATCGTCTTCCCGTAATTTCTTTATGTGAAAACAATGGATTTATCCTGAATAAATACAAACTAATGTAAATCCTTGATACATTCTCTCTAAAACTCATATTTTACTGAATGACTTCTGACTACTTTATGAATGACATCTACACCAAACACGACGCTAATACCAATTGAATTGACTCCCGTATTAGTGTAATTTTTTCAACATATGTGTATGTAAATGAAAATTAGGATCTTCTTTCTTAGCTTCCAAAATTGTGAATATTATTTGAGTGAAGTCCTTGATTTTTAGTTCTACCAGTGTAGTTAATTTTTATATTGCTTTAATTGTACCTTCTTCTTTTTTTACTAAAAGTTTAGCTATAAGTAGGATGGTAAAAACGCTTAAATTTTTTATATGGTTTCATTGGTTATGAATCTTTAAAGAAATTCTCAGTTTTCTACGTATACTGGATGGCTATCAAAATTTTATACCCCATTTGTGCGATTTGCTGGGCATAATTATATTTACAACGTATATTGAACAGTTACTAAAATATTATACTACGTTTTCCCGAATAATATTGAGCATGTGTTGAATAAATTTACATCTTACCATTATTGAAAATATATGTTTGTCGATAGTAATACGTGGTCTTTTACAACAATTTTGATTGCTGTCAATGTAGTTGAACCAACCTTTGGATTCAAAACAAAACCTATCAATTTGTTGTTTGGATTCCTTTGTAAAAATCTGTCTACACATAGACATTGAGCAAAAATGAGGAAACCAATTTTTTATACCGTAGAAATGCAATATTTATACTCCTTGCCTCATATGCGCAGTGTGCACCCAGAATTGGAAAAAATGCATATAAATTTGCAGAAGGCAGTTTTTACCACTCTAAATTCTTCTGAATTTACATTTTCTTATCAACGTTTATTAACAATTACTACAAAAAATGCCGTCCGAACATCGTCTTTCGTACTACTGGTCAAATGACCGGTCGCGGTAGGTAAGACAGTAAACAATTTTTTTTTCCAAAAATAAAAATTGCAAAAACAAATTTACATTGAAAAATGTATCATACTCACATATTAGGAAAAGTCATGAAGTTTGATGACGATTCAATTACGTTTGATAGAAAAAAAACTAATCGAAAAATAAAAAACAGTCATTTGACGGTTCCCGGTAGAAATAGTGTTAAAGACAATTCTTGTAGCTGGTGTAAAGTATGCCGCTTACCGTCTTTGACATGAGGCGCTATATCAGTCCGTTCGGCAGTTGCTATGATTTCAGGCATAAGTCTGTGTAATTTTTCAACTCCAAGACCACCAACGACTTCGCTGAGACCTTGAGCAGCTCCTGATCTGTCCACTGAGCTAGTTTCGGAGGTAAGAGTTTGCATCAACCATGGCAAAAGATCTTCAAAGCTTGCCTCACCCATACCTGTTCAGAAGATAGCCAAATATTTTTATTTAGTTGTAATAATCTTATATATACAAATGAATCGCAAAATGTGTTGGTAAGCGCATAACTCTACAACGCCTGGAGTTATAGCCAATTTGGCGAATTCTTTTTTTAAAATGTTCATTGAAATCCAAGGATGGTTCTTACGGCGAGAAAAAAATCGAATAATTGCCGGGAAAACCCTAAAGTCCTTTTCTTTTTCACATACAAACGTTTTCTAACTAAAATCAATAGTAGAATCAATTTGAGCTTTATTGCTATTATATAAAGTTCGTATTAAATTACAAGCACTCACTGTATACTCCTTCTAAACGATTATTCGGATTTTGATAAATACTTCTGAAGTTTGTTAAGGAAATTTTCTAGGGTGTATGTGATTATAAAGTACTGGGATGTATGTGCAATATTGTAGAAATAAATGGAAAAAATTGTAAAAAACGACATGCCATTGTTTGCATTGAAAATAAATGAAAACTATCATCTGCCAAAAATTTCAATTTACTTATGAACGTAGACAATATTAGAATATGTATAATAAATTTATGATTATGAATAAATAAAAAGAAATGTCTACTATTCTTATAAATTAAAAAAAAGAACTCTACTGACGAGCAAACTGATTTCTGCAAATATTCTTAAAACTTCAAGGGAAAAGGGACTCTACTGACGAGCAATCTGATTTCTGAAAAAATATTAATTTGAAAGCAGAAAGGGACACTACTTACAAGCAAACTGATTTTTTTCAAAAAAAAAAATTAATTTGACTAACGAGCAAACTGATTTTTGAAGATTGTTTTTATAATTTTCAAAACAAAAAGCGATTACTGATTAGGAAACTTATTTCCGAAGCAAAAAGAGACTCTACTGTAATTTCCGAATGAGTCCTTATTTTAGTATATGTATAATAAATTTATTATGAATAAGAAAAATGAAATGTCTACATCATTATTGCCAAAAAGCGGCTGAGATGTGTCAGAAATTAAAATAATATAAAATACAGTATGTGTATGGCAGATTGCATGATACACATATGAACAGGATATGACAAATTAATTCACTTAAAATATGAAATTAAGTATTAATCAGGGCCGAACCTACTTTTAATGCGATGCATGCGAAAAATACGAGCGCACGCCTTAGGGGGCGCCAACACAAGATTCGGATATTAAATTTTCAATATAGTTTTTTTTTCATATATAATTTCTTTGCATCTTTTAATAATCTTTCCACAATATTTTTAAAATTCGTAAAAATTTCACTTTATAACAACAAATGGAAAAGTAAAGATGACATACAATTAGGCCCTCACGATATCGATTAGGAGAAGTTTAAGATGCAATTTTGGATATCTTAAATAATGTAAAATTAGATTAATTTAATCCAACATGAAGTACCAGTGTTATGTTGTGGTTATGGTTATGTTATACCGTTTAAAACACTTCAATTTCCAATATAGTGTGATAATTGAGACTCATCATTTTATTTAAAGCAGTTCTACATTTAACGTCGCTCATATTATAAATGTATATGCATTTTGGCGTGAAGAGTAATTTAAAAAACAATTATTATTATTTTTAGGTAAACGGTAAATATTAGTATATTATATTAAAAAATTGTAGACATGGGTACAGGACAATGTCTGTCGGATCATCTTGTTATTTAATAAATTACTACTTACCTCTGACCATAGCTCCAAGGGCTCTGGAAGAGACGCTTCTTACTTCAGGTACAGGATCCAAGAGTGAAGTTTTTAATCCAGGGATGATATTTGGCAGATACGGCGTCAAGTCTTTTTGATCAGTCAGAGAATACATATTTCCTGCAAATTAGGGAGAATTTCGTTAGTATTCAATTTTATCTATACTTAAGTATTATCTTATTACCTATGATTTGTGCTGCCATTTTTCTAGTTTCAGTAGATCTATCCAGAAAAGCTCTCTGAACAACTGGCATGACCAAAGCGAGCGATGGAGCATCTATGAAATGCACAAACTGGGTGTCGAGGAGTGTTTGGAGACAAGCAGATGTTTTATTTGAAGGATCCTGTAAACAAATTTATTTATTTATTTAAATATATAGCCCACAGATTACTCCAAGAGGACTCAAAAATACAGTCATTTTACATAATGAATAACAATTAAAATATATACAAAATTACAATATATAGTTATTAGCATAAAACGCTTAATATAAAATTACATATAATGCAGAATGTAACAATATTATCTTTATACAGAATAAGATAAAATAATGAGATATTTGAAAAGAAAATAAAAAGGTTAACTTGTGCAGGTGGAGATTATTTGATTAGGTGAAGTGTTGTGAATATCTATTTCACTATTAATTAAGTTGAAGTTAGGGGACATAAGTAAAATAGGCGAATTTAAGAGAGAATTAGATTTAGGAGTAGGATAATTGAAAAATAATTGCGAACGCATAGATAGCCTTAGAACATTAAAGGATAGTTGGTTAAGAATAAGAGGACAGTCTATAGAATTATTGCAAAGCTTAAATAAGAACATAATTCTAAAGATATATCCACGTGAGGCAAGGGAAGGAATACCAAATTCTTTTAGTAAAGTGTTGTGGTCAAAGCCACGTTCAGGATAAATTTTATGTTTTATAATAAAGGTATTTCAGAAATTTTCGCTGAACCTTCTCTATCGCATCAGAGTTGTTGGTTTGATGAGGATACCAAATAATCGAACCATATTTTAATTTGGAACATACAATAATAGTACATGCAAAGAACGCGCATTAGTAGATTTAAATTGTTTACAATTTCTCAGTATCAAACCTAAAGATTTATGTGCTCTATTACAAATATCAGTTATATGATCCGTAAAAATAAACCAGAATCAAATAAAACTTCTAAATCTGAAATTTTATTACATCTATCAATGCTGGTGTTAGAAATTTTATAATCAAAATGTATTGGAACGCGCTTATGTGAAAAACTAAGAATTTTGCACTTTGATATATTTAAATGTAATTTGTTATAGACACACCAAGAGTGAAAAGAGTCAATTTGAGACTGTAAAAATAAGCAGTCATCAATAGAATTTATTTTGAGATATCGTTTGAGATCATCTGCAAATAATAAATGTGGACAGCTAATAATATCAGAAATGTCATTAATAAAAATAATAAATAGTAGTGGACCAAGAATGGATCCTTGAGGAACACCTGAACTGATATTTTCAATGTTGCTCAAGAGTCCATTAAGATAAACAAACTGTTTACGCTTATGAAGATAACTCTTAAAAAAATAAATAAGTGTAGAATTAAGACCAATCTTAGATAATTTAGTAAGAAGAATGTTATGATCAATTTTGTCAAAATCTTTACTGAAATCAGTATAAATAACATCAACTTGTCCATTAGTGTCAAGATTCTCAGCTATATATTGTTTAATAAATAATAACTTTGTTATCGTTGAACGGGCAGACATGAATCCATGTTGATTAGTAGAAATTAAAGTTCTCACAGAAGGAATTAGTTCTCTATAAATAATTTTTTCAAACACCTTAGCAAAGTTTCATAATAATGATATCGGCCTGTAATTCGTAATGTTTGATGTATCACCTTGTTTAAAAGTTGGAACTAATCGTGAAAATAAGTATAAGTTTATTTAATATTCAATTACATCAATGATGTTTAATTCAAACCTGTAAGGCTTGTAACAGCACAGGAACGATAGCTTGAATTTCTGGGTTTCTGATAACGGATCCAATGACTTTCAAAGCTTCTGCACCAGCCTCTTGTACCTTCATGTGCGAATCACTTAAAACTTCTATAAGTTTAGGAACAATGCTGGGAAGACAACTGGACAGTTGTTTGGGAGCGCAGTACGCCATAGCACCGAGCAACTCAACAGATCCTAAATTAATACAATCAGTTTTAGACCAAACAAAGATGCATTACTTTTATATATTTCTTCCACTGACCAGTTTTTGTTCTCCAGCTGTCTTCTTCAAGAGCGGCTAAAAGTGCAGGCAGAACCAGCTTGACACCGTGTGCTGACAACTTGCTCATCACCTGTTTGGCAGTGTCGTCTGTGGCTGCCCTCACATATTGAGACGTATCTCCAAAACAAGAGAGAAGGTGAGGTAACACATGGACAATGTAGGGCTCAAACAGACGGCCCAAAGTGGCACAGAGCATCTCAAAAGCAAATAGAGCACCTAGAGGAGAAATAAAAGATTAAATGATTCGATTCTGAAAATTGACTTGAAGACCTAGAGTTTTTTCCTACCTTCTCTGTATTTGTAATTCTTCTTCTCCTGTATGGCCACAGTTAGTGTGTTCATGATATCGTATTGCTTCAATGACAAGATTCCTAATCCTTTGACCATGCCTGCTAGACCGTAGGCAGCACCTTTTCTATCACCATACTTCTCAGCCTTTTGTAGCTGATGCAACAGTTTCTGTATAATGTTGCCAGCATCCTCTTTTATGGAACCCACCAAGTATGGCAAACAGTTGGCAACAGATTCTTGGACCTGTAAAAAATAACATAAATCAGATAAAATATTTGAATTTGATAGATAGTTATCTATCAATTACCTGTTGGGAGGGTGTATTCAGGGCAGCTATCAATCTCATCACAATAGGTTTTATTCTAGGGTCATCTTTGTCCAAATGGCGTGCCAAAGAACCCATCAAAATAACTACAGCCTGTCGCTTTGCATCATAACTTCCAGACCTAGGAGCACTGTCCAAGAATTTCTCAAAAACTGGCAACAGGGTCGAAACGGCTTGTTTACCGTGGTGTTCAACTGCAGCCAGGGCTGCATTCAGCACTTCTTTTTGCACCTTAATAACAAATTAGTTAATTAAAAACTTATAATTTACAAAACACTAAAAAAAATTGAGAAACAAAATATTGTTTTTTTTTCTAATTATTATTTTCATATGACTGTTATTGTTAAAATATTTAATAATTAGTTAACTAAAAACTTACAATTTAAAACACTTAAAAATTGTGAAACTAAATTTTAATTTTTTTATATGACTTATTGTTAAAATACTTAATAATTATTTTTGTTATTATTATTGTAAATATGGTTTTTAGTGATTATTTTTACCATGATTAAAAATTTATTTATAAGTTATTTTACTTTCTATTAATTAGTATTAAATATAATTTTATGTATTTATATCTTAGGATAGTTATACATGATTACATAAAATGTATAGAAATATTTATGTATAATCTAATATAAACGAAATAAATAAATTTTTAAAAACAAAAAACTTAATAATTAGTTAAGCAAAAACTTATATTTTAAAAACACTTAAAAAATTGTGAAGCAGAATATTTCTTTCATCAAAATACCTAAAAATTTGTAAAAGAAAAAAACTTATATTGTAAAAATACTTAATAATAATAATAAAAATGATAACGATAATATTATTATTGATAATAATAATAATAATAACAATAATATAAGACACTTAAATTTGTTAAAATATCATAAAATAACCTAAAATTTGTTAAATAAAATAATTATAATGTAAAAGTATTGTAAAGCTTATTAAAATACTTCTTAAATTTTTGCAACAAACAAACTAGTTATATTTAAAAATAATTAAAATTAACTAAATATAAATAAGTTTACAGTAAAAAAATTAAAAAATAAATAAATAAGTAATAAAATAGCTAATAGTTAATTAAATTATATTAAACCGGTAAAAAATTGACTTAAGCCTTTTTATAATATTATTATACCGACGGCTTGTAAAATTAATTATTAATTAATAATAAATAAATAAATAAATAAATAAATGATGACAAAGTTATTACATTTAGGTTGTCAAATATCTCCCTTCCGCTTTTTTGCTCTTGGTTCATAATACAAAAAGGCGGAAGGGAGATATTTGACAACCTAATATAAAATAAAATCAGATAAAAACAATTATAATCATTACTGTATTCTTCCTATCGCCCAATCCTGTCGATACATAAAAGTCCATCACTTTGGTAACGCTTTCAGAGTCCAGTAATGGTGCCAATTGGGTGCAAGCGAGAGCAACGCCACGTCTTGGTTGCCAAGTGTCAATCGGTTGTTCAATAATCCTAAAAATTATAGACAATTTAGTACTGCAATAATATTTAAACAAACACCTTTATCATAATAATGTAAGTAGTCTATTTACCTATCAAACTGATCCTTTTTAGCAGGCACCATTTCCAATTTCAGTTTGTAGATGTTCAACAGCTTCTCTGTGACCTCGACGACAACTTCTGATTGTTGGCCCCCCGATAGTTTCAGCAGCTCGGCTAGGGCTTTGGCACTCGCCTGTTGCACACACACATTGTGATGTGTGACATCCTCCAGGACGGCATCACACAAAGCCAGAGGAGTCTCATAGCCGCTCTGATTCCAAAGCTGAGTGGCCAACTCCGCGTTTTCTTCTCGAGGATCGAAACGGGCGATCCATAGACGCTTAATTATCCTGAATAACACAAATTAAGGGGGTTGTTCGGTTTTTATATATTTTTTTTCGATTTTGAGATTTTTTGATATTATGAAAGCTAAAAACCTTAGAATAATTTAAAAAAAAATCATCTCAATATCTATTTTTTGACGAAGTTATATATACGTATATATATATATATATATATATATATATATATATATATGTATGATCCTCTGAAACCGTTTTTTTCATCGCTCCGGAGCTATTGTATGCCAGCTGCTCTCTTTTTCATTATAATACCTCATGCACGTGACCTTTTTAATGTGTCATCATCTTTGAACACCATAGTGTATTTCGTACATTAAATTAAATGGTGTATTTAGTGCATTATATTAAAAACTTTAAATACGTTTTTCTCAAATTGACTTTTTTCAATGCGGTGCCACAAATTAACCCTTTCGACTCGAACGCCGCCGCTCCGGCGGCAAATCGCCTCGTCGCAAACTTGAAATATTTTTTTTTTCATTCTTTTGAAATTAATTCACTATTACATTAATTTATTAATTTTAAAAATAAATATGTAACAAAATTAATTTATTAGCTCATGAACCCCATAATTTTTTGAGATACAAATTTTACTGGAGATGTTTTTATATATATATATATATATATATATATATATATATATATATATAATAGGTTGTCAAATATCTCCCTTCCGCCTTTTTGTATTATAAACCAAGAGCAAAAAAGCGGAAGGGAGATATTTGACAACCTAATATATATATATATATATATATATATATATTTTGATAGGTTATTTAAAATCTATAGATAGATTTTAAATAACCTATCAAAATATAATATCAACACCAAACTCACATATTTCAAAATATATATATATATATATATATATATATATATATATATATATATATATATTATAATGGTAATAGTTTTGGTAATATATTAAATTTAATTTTTGTTTCCTTGTCTATCAGGATTTATTATTTTGTAAGCCATTATAATAAATATTATAATAGAATAAATTATTTTTTAAACAATATAGTATGGTTTTGAGCGCATTTTTTTTTAATTTTTAAAATTTTCTGTTTTATTATCATAATAACTATATTTAAAACCAATATTACCACATTTTGAACAAATCCGATGCAAAAAAAATTCCGAGTTGAGAGATATGTATAGCACAATAATATTCCGAGCGCAGCGCACCGTCGAGCAGTCGGACTCCCGAGTGGAAAGTGTTAAAAAAAAACTACAAGTCGGATCGACTTGCATTTTTTTTTATTTCTTCACCACTGCAATACCTAGTCCCCCTATCTCAAACAACTTGATAACATCACGCAAAAATTTTTTGCAAAGCTTCTCGCCCTAAAAAAAGACTTTTTTCAACACTTTTTTTTAAGTGGCTGCCATTTTTTCCTTTTTGCTTTTTTTCTTTCATTTTGGTAGGGGGACTGGATTCAAACTTCTTCTTCAACGTAGTTTCTTTTTTTTTTGTTTCGGGCGATGCGCAACGGATTTATCTGTGGCACCGCAAAAGAGATCGATTTTGCAAGGCCGACTTTGGCGCCCTCTGGTTAAAAAATTACAGCGAAAAGAAAAAGAAAATTTCGTAATATTCTATGATTTTGTAATTTTTGATTAAAAAAAAACGCAAACAAAAACAAATACCTTGCATTTTTTGTAAAAAAAAAGAACTACCCCCTTAAGATACAAAGTCTTCAATTGTCGCTCTACTTTGACCATTTACCTCATGGCAGCATCATAATCCTGGTCCAATCTCGGCAGTTTGCTCAGCAGAATTTCAAGTGATCTCAGACCGGCATCCCTTACAGCATCGACAGGCTGTTGCATGGCAGTCAGTAGCACTTGAATTTCTTCTGTTTGTTCTGTATTTAATGATTTATCTACATCATCATCGGTTGATTGATCTTCAGAAGCTCTTAGACAAGTGTTGGCAACACTTAGTAGAGTGGATAGGGCTTGGGTTTGGATTCTACCAGCAGCCGAACCTGTAAGGGAGAAATAATAGTTAGTTTGTATATAAATATACTTTTTAATCAAATATCAATCTTACCGATTACTTGGACGAGTAATTCAAGCATAAGTTTCCGCGGCAAATATTTTGGATGGTGCAGGTCACTTCCTTGCATTTTGGCATGTTCTGATATGATCTACAATGTAAGAAATATTGTGAAATAATTCCTAATTTATTGACTTACGTCGAATTAATTGAGAGGTGTTTAACACTATTTCTACCGGAACCGGTCAAATGACCGTTTTTGATTTTTCGATTAGTATTTTTCATATCAAACGTAATTGAATCATCATCAAACTTTATGACTATTCCTAATATGTGAGTATGATACATTTTTCAATGTTAATTTGTTTTTTCAAATTTTATTTTTGTGGAAAAAAAATTGTATACTGTCTCACCTACCGCGACCGACCATTTGACCGGTAATACGAAAGACTATGATCGGACGGCATTTTTTGTTGTAATTGTTAAGAGTATGATCGAACTTACAAGAAAATGTAAATTCAGAAGAATTTAGAGTGGTAAAAACTGCCTTCTGCAAATTTATATGCATTATTAATATAACTCTGTATGCACGCTGCGCATATGAGGCAAGCAGTATGAATATTGCACTTCTACGGTATAAAAAGTGGGTTTTCTCGTTTTTGCTCAATGTCTATGTGTAGACAGATTTTTACGAAGGAATCCTAACAACAAATTGATAGGTTTTGTTTTGAACCCAAAGGTTGGTTCAACTACATTGACGGCGATCAAAATTGTCGTAAAAGATCACATATTACTATCGACAAACATATATTTTCAATAAAGATAAGGTGTAAATTTATTCAACACATGATCAATAATATTCAGGAAAACGTAGTATAAAATTTTAGTAACTGTTGAATATACGTTGTAAATATAATTATGCCCAGCAAATCGCACAAATGGGGTGTAAAATTTTGATAACCATCCAGTATACGTAGAAAACTGAGAATTTCTTTGAAGATTTATAACCAATGAAACCGTATTATCAAAATTGCTAGTACGATGTAAAAAATTTAAACGTTTTTACCATCCTACTTGTAGCTAAACTTTTAGTAAAAAAAAAAAACTGTGATGGTAGGCAATATAACAACTACAAATACTGGTAGAACTAAAACTTTACAATTTTGGAAGCTAAGAAAGAAGATTCTAATTTTCACTTACATACACATATGTTGAACAAATTACACTAATACGGGAGTCAATTCAATTGGAATTAGCGTCGTGTTTGGTGGTAGATTTCAGTCATAAAGTAGTCAGAAATCATTCAGTAAAATATGAGTTTTAGAGAGAATATATCAAAGATAAATCTATTGTTTTCACACAAAGAAAGTACGGGAAGACGATGTACAAGGCAGGAATTTTCTATTCCAATTAACTTGCCGTATAGTTCCAACAAGAATTCAGAACTAGCTGTAAGTGGAATTCTGTCTTAAGGCAATTAAGGCATCGTGCCTTAAGGCAAATTGCTGGAACTTCCCGTGCCAAAAATTATTATTTTTTTAAAAACGATTAACATTTTTGAAAAAATTTTACTTCGAAAAAATAAAATTTTTTAGAAATTTTAAATTGGACAAAAAATTACTTTTTTTTGAAAAAAAAATTTTTTTAAAAAAAAAATTTTTAATCAATTTTTTTTGTAAAAATTTTTTTTTGGAAAAAATGTTATCTTCATTTTGACATATTTTGGAAGATCTGAACTTTTTTTCAAAGCAATCGTACTGCTTTAACTGCATAGAGACAAAATATAAAGCGCGTAAGCGCCGCGTCGCTGTCTAACGGAAAAACATTGGTACGGAACCCATAGGAATGCAAAGAAAATTTATACTTATTGTTAAAATCTCAATAAAATATCTGATAATTTGATATGCATATGTCTAATGTCTAATGATTATTGTTGACCGCCAAATGTTATTTTTTTTAGTTTTTTTTACTAGATCTCCGAACCGCTAGACCTATCTTCATGAAAATTTGATCAAATCTTCATCCTGTTAATACAAGTAAAATGTTTTTTGAACTATACAAATCGGACGCTCCGTTCTCTTAAAAACTGAGTTACCGTTTTTGGCCCTTTTTGCCCCATATCTTCGGAACGGCTAGACCTGCCTTTGACAAAAACTAATCAGCACGTATCCTTATTAATACGAATCGAATGCTTTTTGAATTATTCAAATCGATTGATCGGTGTTCCCGAAATCGCCGACGAAAATTTGTATCCGCACACACACACGCACACATACATCAATTTTCTCCAAGGTATGCCAACATATTCAGAAACCTCTGAAACGTGAAGATATATAAAAATTTTCATTTTCGATTTTTTTGCGATTACTTACCCTATGGAAAGTTAATTATAAATAAATCAATTTATCATCTCCAGAACATTAACAATCGTCATTTCATTTCGAATCAAATTCCAAAAAAAAAATAGTTGCCACACAAAATTGAAAAAGTGCTCCCGCATAGTTACAGTCTAAACGCATTTGCAAATAATTCTGTGCGACATTCTCACTTATACTGTGCTCAGCTTGGCGGCATTTTCACATTTTTCAATAATTTTCACAAAATTGGAAAAGTGCTCCAATACACAAACAGTCTAAACGCACATGGGTAAACATTTGTACCAGAGTGGCGCTTAGACTGTGCTTAGTTTGGGTGATTTTAAACCAAAATTACAAAAAAATTATTTTGTTGAAAAAAGCAGAAAGTTCTTTGAATCATTTAAATCGGACGCTTAGTTCTCTCAAAAACAGCAATTTTTTTTAAATTTAGCTCTGTATCTCCGAAACCTCTGGGCCTACCTTTGCCAAAAACTAATCAGCACATCTCCCTATCAATAGGAATCGAATGTTTTTTAAACCATTCAAATCGGTTGATCCGTTCTCTCAAAAACTCGCTTTCTATTTTTTGCACTCTTTGCTCCATATCTCCGTAACGGCTGGACCTGCCTTTGCCAAAAACTAATCAGCACATCTCCCTATCAATAGGAATCGAATGTTTTTTAAACCATTCAAATCGGTTGATCCGTGCGCCCGAAAACGTGGACGAAAAAAAGCGGACATACAAAACACACACACACACACACACACACACACACACACACACATCCATTTTTTCTGAAGTATGCCAAAATGTTCAGAAACCTTCAAAACGTCGAGAAATGTAAAAATTTTTGATTTCGATTTTTGGACGATTACTATAACTTACCCTACGGGAAGTTAAAAAAATCAACTAAGTACAAGTACAAAACAGATTCCCTAAAAGAAAATATTCCAGATAATGTTTGAGAAAGATGATAGGGCGAACAAAATGATCCAAAAACGTAACTAGTGGGGCGCATGGCATCGTGCCTTAAGGCAAATTGCTGGAACTTCCCGTACCAAAAATTATTTTTTTTTTGAAAAGATTAACATTTTTTAAAAAAATTTACTCTAAAAAAAATAGATTTTTGAGGAACTATATAAATTTTTGACAAAAACTTACTTTTTGTTGAAAAATTTATTTTGAAATATTTTGGAAATTCTGAACTTTTTTTCAAAGCAATCGTACTGCTTTAATGCATAGAGACTAAATATCGAAGCGCGTAAGCGCCGCGTCGCTGTCTAACGCATAAGCATTGGTACGGAACCCATAGGAATGTTAACAAAATGTATACTCATTGTTAAAATCTCTATAAAATATCTGATAATTTGATGTGCATATGTCTAATGTCTAATGATTATTGTTGACCGCCAAATGTTATTTTTTTTTACTTTTTTTACTAGATCTCCGAAACCGCTAGACCTAATTTCATAAAAATTTCATCAAATCTTCATCTTGATAATGCAAGTAAAATGTTTTTGAATTATTCAAATTGCTTCATCCCGATTCCCGAAATCGTCGACGAAAATTTGTATCTGAACACACACAAATGCACGCACACACACACATACACACACATACATCAATTTTCTCTAAGGTATGCCAATATATTCAGAAACCTTTGAAACGTAAAGATATATAAAAAATTTCATTTTCGATTTTTGTGCGATTACTATAACTTACCCTACGGAAAGTTAATTATAAATAAATCAATTTATCACCTCCAAAACATTAACAATCGTCATTTCATTTCGAATCAAATTCCAAAAAAAAAAAATAGTTGCCAAATTTCCACAAAATTGAAAAAGTGCTCCCGCATAGTCACAGTCTAAACGCATTTGCAAATAATTCTGTGCGATATTTTCACTTATACTGTGCTCAGCTTGGCGGCATTTTCACATTTTTCAATAATTTTCACAAAATTGGAAAAGTGCTCCAGTACACAAACAGTCTAAACGCACTTGGGTAAACATTTGTACCAGAGTGGCGCTTAGACTGTGCTTAGCTTGGGTGATTTTTTGAATTTTTAGTCCAAAATTACAAAAAAATTTTTTTGAAAAAAAATTAGAAACAAAAAATTTTTTTTTCCAAAATCAATTGTTTTGTTGAAAAAAGCAGAAAGTTCTTTGAATCATTTAAATCGGACGATTAGTTCTCTCAAAAACAGCCATTTTTTTTAAATTTAGCTCTGTAACTCCGAAACCTATGGGCCTACCTTTGCCAAAAACTAATCAGCACATCTCCCTATCAATAGGAATCGAATGTTTTTTAAACCATTCAAATCGGTTGATCCGTTCTCTCAAAAATTCGCTTTCTATTTTTTGCACTCTTTGCTCCATATCTCCGTAACGGCTGGACCTGCCTTTGCCAAAAACTAATCAGCACATCTCCTTATCAATAGGAATCGAATGTTTTTTAAACCATTCAAATCGGTTGATCCGTGCGCCCGAAAACGTGGACGAAAAAAAGCGGACATACAAAACACACACACACACACACACACACACACACACACACACACACATCCATTTTTTCTGAAGTATGCCAAAATGTTCAGAAACCTTCAAAACGTCGAGAAATGTAAAAATTTTTGATTTCGATTTTTGGACGATTACTATAACTTACCCTACGGGAAGTTAAAAAATGCGTGTGCAGAAAATACACTCTAAGAAAAAAAAACCTAAAAAATTGGATAAAACCAAATAAAATGTTGATTTCGCATTCTAAAATAGAAGAAATATTTTGTATTTGTATTTATAAACTCTTAAGCTAGCATTAACTCTTCATTCAATACTGAAAAATATAGATTTTGTATGACCGGTCGCGGTAGGAATAGCAAACATGATATGTCGGTAGGAATAGTGTTGATAAATTAAAATTTGGCCATTGATTATTTCGACAAACCTGTAATATATTATGAGCCAACACATCATCCTTCTTAGCAATTTCCGACAGCATTGTTTTCGTAATAAGTGGGAAAGAATAGGCAAATTGTGAAGCACTCAATAAAGACGATATGTCATTTGTACGATCGGCATCGAAACTGTTGTCGTGCTTCAGAGAAACAGTCGCGTCGTACAGAGCATCTAGAACATCTCGAACTTGCTCCCAGAGATCTTTATCAGTCTCGAACTCTGCATCGAGATCGCAGTTGGGCTCATAGAGACGTACAGTGACCTTTGCTATTGATTCTCCTAGATTTGCGATATTTCTATCGACTGAAAATAAAATCAAACTCATTAGATAACGGAAGGTGAATCATGATTAGGGTTTATACAAAAACCGACATTTCAGAAAACTTGTTTCCGAATTTTAATTTTACTAAAAAACCGGTTTTAGCCGGTTTTCGAATTTAATATAGAAAATAAATGTGTGCTCTAATATTCTATAATTTATCCGCAAATTTAGTGTAATTTAGAGCAGTATTTGGCTGAATTTATTTATTGTTCAATTTTATGGATAGTAAGCTAAATCATTTTTAATTAGTAGAACTAAAAAATAATAGTTTGTCTTGATTAAATAACTTTGAAAATAATTATTAGTTATTCATGCATCATTTTCACATATAAGAATGAAAATATTTTTATGAGAGTGAAGGGAAAGTTTTCGAATAAATAAAATAATACATTTTTAAAGAAAAAAATGCATCATATTAAAATATATATATATATATATATATATATATATATATATATATATATATATTAGGTTGTCAAATATCTCCCTTCCGCTTTTTTGCTCTTGGTTTATAATACAAAAAGGCGGAAGGGAGATATTTGACAACCTCATTTATATATATATATATATATATATATATATATATATTAGATACATGTTGACACATACTTCTTAATATCAATTTTAGTTTTAAAAATAATTAAATTAAACTTGGGTATTGTCTGTTCCGAGCAATTTTAATTAATTCATTTTAAACATTCTAATTGATTTTTTGTTTAATATAAAATATGATTTAAAAAAACTGAGAACGTCTATCAAATTGCTACTCAGACATGTCCTTTATTGTTTCTAACAAAATTTTCTGAAATAGAAAATACTCTCATACTAGCGACCAAATTATGCTTGAATGTTTTTAAAGCCTGATATAATAGTTTTTTGTTCTTGTGGCTTCTAGAGTTTAAAACCCTTTTTTTAAGTTTGAGTAGAGGAAGTTACTTCTTTAAGAAGAAGTCACACTGATCTAAATTAATATATACACTGGTAAAAAAATCTAAATTAATATATACAAAACCTTTCTGGGAACCATTGCAGACTGACAAGATATCAAATGCTATTGAACCGATATGATTTCAAGAATCAAAACGCTTTCATCTATCTTTTATATTTGGCTATATTTGTCATTTTCCTTTTATCCTGTGAAAACCGACTTTTTACACTAAAAAACCGGTTTTCGAATACCATAATTTTTGCCAAAAAAAACGGTTTTTGAAAACCGACAAACGCTAATCATAATGGTCTAATCATTTGCACCTATACCTTTGCCAGTGTCCTCCTCAAAAACGCCCTTGCCCATATCCTGATAGAGTTTCACAAAGGCGCCGGCAGCCAAAGGCGACTGGAGATTCCTCAGCAGATCGGTGACCAATGATGAATAATACAAGGAGAATTCTCTAGGGTTTCCTCGAATGCAGGACCTGATCGCCGATTCGATCAGGACGATCTCGGAATGGATGCCCCGCAATCGTTCGCGCACGACCTGCTCCTTCTCCAATTGCAAACGGAGCGCCTCCTTCTGTTTCGGCGTCATCTCAGGTATTTTACCTATGACACACATTGTAATAAAATCTTTTAAATCCGTTAAATACAATACACAAAACTTAGTTTGTTATATAGCCCATATTTCATCTAAATAAATTTTTAACTAGTTGGTATTGGTATTTTGCCTTGAGGCAAGTTACATGAATTTCCCGATTTGTGTAAATAATCGACTTAATCCATGATAGATAAATTAATGTATGACTAGTTAAAAGTATTCGAAGTGGATTTATTACACATCATTGAAAATGAACGAACACGTTAACTCGAGTATTTTCTAAAAGCATATTTTCAAAAATCAATAATATTTATAATTGAACCAGTTTTCGTAGGACGTTAGTGGTTCAGTATGTTCATTAAGACCAAGTGATCTATCGTTATCTAATTTTATTTTTAACAAACGTCAACAAAACTACTCATTTTCTCAAAATTCGATGATTTTTTTAAATTAAACTACTTGTCGTAAGACCGTAATATTTCAGTAAGTTGTATAAGACCATGATATATATCGCCAAAAAAAGTTCCATAAAAATCGGCTTAAATTTTTGTTTCAACAGTTAATTCCAAGAAAACTGTTCGGTAGATTTTCACCTAAAACTAATCAGCATCATTCCCTACTAATATCTTTCGAACAGTTTTTGATTTTTTAAAATCGACTCGGTAGAATGAGCTTAAATGTGGACGAGAAGTTTAACACTCTTTTTCAAATTACAAAGAAACGGCTCGCAGATTATCTCACAAAACCGACAAACTATAGTACTCATTGAGATACATCGAATGGCTATTAAATTTATGAAATCGGTTCAGGCGTTTTTGAGAAAACGTCGATGAAAGTTCTAATTTTGACAATGCCAAAAAAATGATACCAATTTTTGCAAACTTTGATGAATTTTTAAAGCTAAACGAGTTGCCGTAATATTTTAGTATGATCTAGAAGACTGTGGTATCTACCTTCAAAAAAAAAAATAATAATAAAAATCGACGACAAAAAATTGTTTAACACCTTATTACAAGAAAAAGGCCCGGCCGATCTCTACCAAAAATTAATCAAGTCGATTCCCAACCAATATCTAGTAGACGAAAAATTTTTCACTTTCCTGCGATTTATAAAGAAACGGCTTGGCCGATCGTCGCACAAAACTGATAAACAATAGTCCTCAACGAGATACATCGAATGTTTTTTGATTTTTTAAAATCGGTCCAACCGTTTTTGACAAAACGTCGATTGACGGCAAAAAATCTGTTCACACACACGCACACACACACATACACATACTTATTCCAAATTTGGTCTCATTCGATTCAGAATGGCTCGAAACGTCGAGAAAACATAAAATTAGCGAATCGGATTTTTTGATGAAAACAAACTTCTCCTTTGGGAAGTTAATAAAATCTTTTAAATCCGTTGTACAGTTAAAAATACAATACACAAAACTTAGTTTGTTATATAGCCCATATTTTATCTAAATAAATTTTTAATCAATTATCTTCTTCTTACCTTCTCGCTTCTTCTTTTCTAGCAACTCCCTCCGCAGCTGCAGCTCCTCCTGCTGCTCCTTGTAGCTATAGACTTTGCTTTCGCGTTTCATATTCTTCAATTCACTGAACTCATCCTCATCGTTACCAGGCAAACCACTCTTATCATAAACCTCACCCTCAGGTGTTAAATAAGTAAAATATTCATCCCTCGTAATATACAAAATGGCAGGATCTTGCAGCTTTTCACAAATCTTCTTCACCAAGTTTGGTAAAACAACCCTTGCATTCAGTTTGACACAAGTGCTCAGAGCGTTTTCATAACTCGGTATCGGTTTGTAGTCCTCGATGAAGATTCTTTTGATGTCTTTGGAATACTGGGCTATTATGTTTTCGGGTAAAGTTGGGCGCACCAATTGGCTCCACATATTGGGTTCAGCGGCAACTATACTCGGATGGTGGGCGCATATTAAAGACTCGATGCAAAGTTTTTGGGCGTCACAGATTTCTAACTGGTCCACGTTGTGGAAGATTGTCTTCAGGAAGTCTATTAAATTTTTGGCATCGATATCATTTTTAGCGGTTTCCATGTATTTAGAAAACTGCCGGAGCAAACTCAATCGCATTAAACAGTCCGAATCCAAAAACTCCTGCACAAGTTTTAAGCACTTTGGTCTGGTAGTTGGACCGGAATGTATACAAGCGTATGCGATAGCGTTATACAGTATATTTATATCGCCGTTGATACGATTTTTATAGAACTTCAACAACTCTTTGCACAGAATTATGATCTGATACAAAGCGTCATCGGCAGCAGACTGCAAGAATTTGTCGGAGAAGTAAACCTGCTTTTCCATATCCAAAACAGCGTGCCACAAAGCATTGAACTTTCCCGATTCATACTTTCCCGATAACGACTTCAACATTAAACAACTCGCGGCTAAACTTTCAGTCACCACAGATGTCTGGTTGCTCTGCACCAAACTTTTTTCAATAACTTTGATCAGAACGGTTTCTAAATCAGTCGCTTGTGGTAATTTAGCGTTTTCTAAACTGCACAACAACATTTGGCAGTATGAGGTACGTATGGGTCCATTGGACGTTTTCGAACCCAACCCTTTCTTAAAACATTCCACCACCTTTACAGGAACATCATTTTCAATTCTTAAAGTCCACGATGAAAACATGTCTAAGGCAAAGCATAAAATTTTCTCGTTTTGCTCTGCATCAAGGACTTTGACAAAAAAGTCAATTACATATTCGACGGTCTTTGCTAGGTCTTTATTGGAGGCAGTGTTTAGGGAAAGGTTGCCAATGGCTTGTAAAACGCTGATTTTATGTTCTGTAAGGGTCAGTTTGCCTTCCGAGCCATTGTAGACGGAGCAGATGGATTTAACAAGAGAATCTATAGTTTGGTGTTTCGTACATTTTAGACAAAGTGATTTTAAAGTTGCAATTGATTCATCACGAGTGATTGCTTCCTTGGAACGTAAATTTGCTGCGAAAGAAAAAAATAGTTGAAAGTGGCATTTTTCATTAACGCAAGTTGCTAATTTATCAAAATACTACAGTCCGCATTTCAACTACGATTTATTTGAAATTTCAAAATCAAAGTGCATGAAATAGTTCTTACTATATTTTAGTTTATCTAGTTCTTATTTATGTAAACAAATTATAATGTCTGAGAAAAAAATTAGAAGTTATTTGAAGAAAACTAAAAAAAAATATCCTAAACCCATGTATTACATGTTATGGAAATACTAAAGTCCGCATTTTAACTACGAATTTTTCAAAATTTTAATATCCTATTATATATAATAGTTTTTATTAGATTTTAGTAAATTTCATCTCGTTTTTTACGAATGTAAACAAATTATAAAGACCGAGATGAAAACTAAAAGTTATTTCAAGAAAAGTAAAAAAATGTCCTAAATATATATATAGCAAATACTAAATTTGGATTTCAACTACGAATTATTCAAAATTTCAATAATAAAGTGTATGAAACAGTTTTTGCTGGATTTTAGTAAATTTTATATAGTTTCTACTAATGTAAACAAATATATTGTTTGGAAAGAAAATTAAAAATTATTTGAAGAAAACTAAACAAATGTCCTAAATCTATATGATGTAAATACTAAATTTGGATTTCAACTACAAATTATTCAAAATTTCAATATCAAAATGAAACAGTTTTTACTAGATTTTAGTAAATTTTATCTACTTTTTACTAATGTATACAAATTGTTCTGGAGGAAAATTAAAAGTTATTTTGAAAAAACTAAAAAAATGTCCTAAATCCATACATTGCAAGTTATGGAAATACTAAAGTCTGCTCTTCAACTACAAATTATTCAAAATTTCAATATCAAAGTGCAAGAAACCGTTTTTACTAGATTTTAATAAAGTTTATCTAGTTTTTACTAATGTAAATAAATTATATAATCCGGGAAGAAAATTAAAGGTTTTTTAAAGAAAACTAAAAAAATGTCGTAAATCCGTATATTGCAGGTTATGAAAATACTAAAGTCCGCATTTTAACTACGAATTATTCAAAATTTCAATATCAAAGTGAATAAAACAATTTTTACTAGATAGTAGTAAATTTTATCCAGTTTTTACTAATGTAGACAAATTATAACAGCCAAGATGAAAATTAAAAGTTATTTTAGGAAAACCAAAAAGGTCCTAATTTCATATATTACAAGTTATGGAAATACTAAAGTCTGGAAATAAACTTTATAGTGAATTAATTTCAGAAATATGAAAAAAAATCACATGTTGTAAGTTTAGTTCGCGACGACACGATTTGCCGCCGGAGTGGCGGCATCCGAGTCGAAAGGGTTAAGAATTATTTTAAAAACAGTAAAAAAACCTAAAAAAAGTCCTAAATCCATATATTGCATGTTATGGAAATACTAGTATTATCCGCATTTTAACTACGAATTATTCAAAATTTCAATATAAAAGTGCATGAAACAGTTTTCACTAGATTTTAATAAATTCTATCTAGTTTTTACTAATGTAAACATATTATAACACCCTAACCTAACCGAAAATAAAAAATCATCAACAGAAACTAAAAAAATTTCCTAAATCCCAATATATATTCTTATAATAATAATAATATAGAAATCTCAATATATATTCACTCACCGATCAAATGTTTCCCCAAATCTTGCAAACAGGTGCTAGTATCGATTTTCACATTATCGATGATATGTCCAACACATTCGATTATAATTTCAGGATTTCTCAGCATGGATCTCTGCAAAGCTGGCAGAATGTGCGAGGTAAAATCATTCTCGGAGAACACTTGCAAAAGGGGGCCACAGGCCGAAATCAAACTGGCATTCGGTTTTGCTTTCACTGTTATCATATTCTTGATGAACGTTTCAAGAAGCACATTCTGTATTAAAAACAGAAATAGAAATAAATATATATATAAATATTTACTTATTTATTTTACAAGCCGTCGGTATAATAATATTATAATAAGGCTTAAGACAATATTTTACAGGTTTAATATAATTTAATTAATTATTAGCTATTTTATTACTTATTTATTTAATTATTATTAAATATAACTAGTTTGTTTGTTGCAAGTATTTTTTAAAAATTTAACAAGTATTTTAATAAGCTTTACAATACTTTTACAATATAATTATTTTATTTAACAAATTTTAGGTTTTTTTATGATATTTTAACAAATTTAAGTGTCTCATATTATTGTTATTATTATTATTAATATTATTAATAATATATAAGTTTTTTTTTACAAATTTTTAGGTATTTTGATGAAGGAAATATTTTGTTTCACAATTTTAAGTGTTTTTAAAATACAAGTTTTTGGTTAACTAATTATTAAGTATTTTAACAATAACAGTCATATAAAAAAAAGAATATATATATATATATATATATATATATATATATTATCATTTTTATTATTATTCTTAAGTATTTTTACAATGTTTTCTTTTACAAATTTTAGGTATTTTGATAAAGGAAATAGTTTCACAATTTTTAAGTGTTTTTAAATTATAAGTTTTTAGTTAACTAATTATTAAGTATTTTAACAATAACAGTCATATAAAAAAGGAGAAGAAAAAAAAAGAATATGTATATATATATATATATATATATAAACCCAGTTAATGTGAAATACTTGCCTTATGAGGGTCTACAAATTCCTTTTTCCACTCATCATAATTTGCACTGTTTTGTTGACTCCGTTTTAATAAATACGATAGATACACAAGAGTGTTCACACCCTGTTCCAATTTGCAAATAATTTTTGAACACAAATTTAAACTATTTTCAACTGAAGAATACATCTGGGAAAACTGTAACATAAAATAAATATATTCTTAAATTTACTTTTCAAATTTATGTCCCTTCCATAATATATTTCACTTACCATAGTGTTAATAATATCATTTAGCTTCGCCAACCCAGCAGAAAGTACAATTTGCAAAAGCTTCGATTGATACTCAATCAAAAACATTAAATCTTTATTATCCATTCCTGTTTCATTGTTTTCTTCACAGGATTTAGATTGTGTGTTGATAAACACCAAACACGACCAGCCTAAGGCATAGAGCCCTGTTTGGGCTGTTGATTTACTGTAAAAAATAAATAAAATTAAGATTGGTAATAATAATAATAATAAATTTAGTTCATTACCTTGGGGGTTCATTTATGTTTTGTGCAACGATGTCTTTAATGATGACATTCATGTATTTCATAGCCCATTTAGGATGCTCTTTGCATAATGAGACAATCAAGTTTTTGACGAGGTGTTGAGATTGCACATCTCTGTATTTGGGGAGAGTTAATTGTATAACTTTACAAAGACCTCTTATTATTTGCTCAGTTATACCTGAAAAGCAAATAATAAGTGTTATGAGAAAGATAATAACATGGAATATGATTTCATTTAATATTATGTACAAATACTTTACTATTTTAATTAACTTGGTAATATTTTGACAGAGTATAGAGTTGCTAAAAAGATTCACAACACTCAATCTTAATTATGTAATTTAATTCTTCATTTTTATGAACCAAAACTAGCCTTACTTTAAAAAAAAACAAATAAATCTTCGGCTAAGCAAACTATCACAGTAAATTTATGAAAAACATTTATTTAACATTAAATTCTAATATTATAATTGTGTATAAAAGATATCACAGTCAAATTATCATTCCCAATCGTGATAATTCAGACTATGCTGAGCAAAAATGTTTCATAATAAGGGACATGTTGCCGTGAGGATAGTTTATCAACTTTT